CATTAAGTGCTTTTTCCTTCCAAGTTTGTATTTCCAGATGTAGTGTTGATGTTGCATCGGTTGCTATTGGCATACCTAAGTTGGCTGCTATGAAGTTTTTATCAGCATTTCTTATGGACTGGATGATACGGTCTGTGGATGAAGCCGTGATATTGATGAATCATCTAACGAGTTGTTCTATCTAAGCCTTCCAAGTCAGCATTGGACCATTTAACTATTAATTGCAGCGATGGTGTTCAACACTTCAGCCATCCTCTTCCTGTATTTTTCAATCAACTGCTGCTTAAGTTGGGAATGGGCTACTCTCATGTTACGTGGTATACCAAAATATTTGTATAAAGAGCCAGGTTCTAGGTCTGCGATGCTTTCGAAAGATTCTTCTTCTTCACCTGGTGGTTCAAGTTTTCCTTTCGGGATTCCTATGGTTGCTCACTTATCCGATCTAAATGACATCTTAATATTGCCACTGAATATTTTCACGACTGTTCAGTTTTGATCGATTATTTTATATATTTTAATGGCCGTTCCAGAAACAGAAATCCAAACGTTTGCCATTGACCCCATCTTAACCAAAACTAACCAAAACTACATAATTTTCGAGACAGGAATTAAAGGTTGTTAACATTTTTTTTCCACTGTCACTTGCGCCATGCCATTGACTGATTCTTTTTTTTTAAATTTAGGTCTCAACAAAATACCGTTTTTTTTTCTGTTCATTTCGATTTGAAAATACGAGAAGTAGCGTGTAGTGTACCAAGCCACATTTACATTCTCCTCTTCTCTGCAGTTTCTTGAAATCTCGAATCAAGGCCTTCCTTGTAGTTATTTCCTTCCTGAATTATCAGTTACAATAATACCCAGACCACGTAGGCAGTACCTCTCATATACCTCTTTATTTCCAACCTTATTATTGATGAAAATTTACTTGAAAAAATACTTTCAAAATGGCGGCGCATCCGGATATACCGGAAGTGAGTGTCAACTTTTTTTATTATAAATATAATATATAAAAATATTTTGCCTATACCTAAATTTCATCGTTTCTGAGCGTTTATACTAAAAATGACGTTCATAATTTCGATTGAAAAAAGATTATAAAAATAAAATTGAAAAAACTGGCAATAAATCTTTTTTTTTAATGGAAACATGAGGGGACAATCTGTATACTATGATGACTGACGTTGACTAAGGTCTGTCATTCTTCTAGTTGCTGCAAATCACAAGCAATCATTTTTTTTTAATTATTGTTATTGAACTATGGTTATTATTTTATCTGAAGAGGTTGTGATTTTGTTAATTGCGTAACGATGTCATCGATATCTAGATGCGAATTCTATCGTCTCTGTGTAGCCGGTCGAAACCATACGAGTTATTTTTAAAAAAGAAGTTCTACAGTGCGATGAATATTTCCGTCCCGAAACAAAACAAAGGCAACCGTTTCAAGATGAGGAGAAGGAATTTTAAAGCTTACGTGAGTACCTTTCCATTTCTGAAATTCGCACCTTCAAACGTATCAGCTTTTAGGTTTAACGAAATAACGTTAAGAGAAAACAAATTCTATCAATTAGAAATTTTGAATTTTAGAAAAATGTAATGTAAGGGTCTAATTTCAAAAAAATTTTTTTCAAAAATTAAAAAAAATGTAGTGGAAAAGTCTAATTTAGAAATAAAAATCTATGAAATAGAGATGTGGATATCTTTTTGGAATCATTTATTCTGCAACTATACATTTTTTATAAACCAAATATATATAGCATTTGTTTTTTTCAAAAAAGAAATGTAGTGGAAAGGTGTAATTAAAAAAATCTGTGAAATAGCAATACATCTATTTTTAGAATCGGTAATTCTGCAGGTATAAATTTGTTTATAACTGAAAAATATATATCACTTGTTTTTTTCAAAAATGTTTAAAAAAATGTAGGGTAGAGGTCTAATTCAGAAAAAAAATCTTTGAAATAGAAATGTTACAATTGGTTATTCAGCACGTATAAATTTGTTTATAACTCAAAAATATATAACGTAAATGTCAAAAAAATGTGTATATATAGAGTATTTTTAGAATATATAGCATTGATTTTTTTTTCAGAAATTTCAAAAAAATGTACTGAAAACATTTTAATCTAGAAAAAAAATCTATCAAACAAAAATGTAAATATATCTATTTATATAATTGGTGATTCTGCAGGTGCGAATTTGTTTAAAATCCAAAAATATAGAGCTTTTGTTTTTTTCAAAAATGTAAAAAAAATGTATTGGAAAGATCAAATTTACAAAAAAAAATCTATGAAATAGGAATATCGATATATCTTCTTTTAAATTATTCTTCTTCTTAAAAATTTGTTTATAATCCAAAAATATATAATATTTCTTTTTTTTCAAAAATGTCAAAAAAATTTAGTGGAAAAGTCTAATTTAGAGAAAAAAAAATGAAATAGAAATGTATATATATTTTTAGAATCGGTCATTCAACAGGTATAAATTTCTTTATAACCCAAAAACATAGATTTTGTTTTTTTAAAAAATATCAAAAAAATATAGCGGAAAGGTCAAATTTACAAAAAAAAATTATGAAATAGGAATATCGATATATCTTCTTTTAAATTATTCTTCTTATAAATTTGTTTATAATCCAAAAATATATAATATTTCTTTTTTTTCAAAAATGTCAAAAAAATTTAGTGGAAAAGTCTAATTTAGAAAAAAAAATATGAAATAGAAATGTATATATATTTTTAGAATCGGTCATTCAACAGGTATAAATTTCTTTATAACCCAAATACATAGATTTTGTTTTTTTAAAAAATATCAAAAAATATAGCGGAAAGGTCTAATTTACAAAAAAAATCTATGAAATAGGAATATCGATATATCTTCTTTTAAATTATTCTTCTGCTTATAAATTTGTTTATAATCCAAAAATATATAATATTTCTTTTTTTTCAAAAATGTCAAAAAAATTTAGTGGAAAAGTCTAATTTAGAAAAAAAAAAAGAAATAGAAATGTATATATATTTTTAGAATCGGTCATTCAACAGGTATAAATTTCTTTATAACCCAAATACATAGATTTTGTTTTTTTAAAAAATATCAAAAAATATAGCGGAAAGGTCTAATTTACAAAAAAAAATCTATGAAATAGGAATATCGATATATCTTCTTTTAAATTATTCTTCTTCTTATAAATTTGTTTATAATCCAAAAATATATAATATTTCTTTTTTTTCAAAAATGTCAAAAAAATTTAGTGGAAAAGTCTAATTTAGAAAAAAAAAAATATGAAATAGAAATGTATATATATTTTTAGAATCGGTCATTCAACAGGTATAAATTTCTTTATAACCCAAAAACATAGATTTCGTTTTTTTAAAAAATATCAAAAAAATATAGCGGAAAGGTCTAATTTAGAAAAATAAATTATGAAATAGAGATGCAGATATTTTTTCAGAATAGTTTATTCTGCAGGTATAAATTTCTTTGTAACCCAAAATCATAGGTTGTGTTTTTTCAACAATGTTTAAAAAATTAAGTGGTAAATATAGATAGATATAAAATTGAAACGTAGATATATTTTTCTAATCGGTTAGTCTACAGGTATAAATTTCTTTATATCCCAGCAGTGGAAACGTCTAATTTTAACAAATTTAACTTCTTTGAATAAACTGACGGTATAATATCACTTATTTGTAGTCTTGATGGATTGTTTTTCGGTTTGTTCGTATGATTTCATCAAACATTTGAAAAATATATACAGGGTGTTTCAAAACAAAATGGCTGATTCCTTGTTGAAAATGTAAGGGTAATGTTAAATAAACGTTGGGTCAAAAACCAACCAACACTATTATTAGTTTTAAGTTAAAAGTTTTTATTCTTATCATAAAAACGAAAATAGAGCAATAAAGTTCAAGCTTGTTTACTTTTTTAAAAAATTCGATGAGACTCATTTAAAAAAAAAATAACAAAAGATTCGGGCAGCGAAGTTTTCCGTAAAATTATAATTATACAATAAATATAACAATTTGATCAGCCCCTTAAGTTTTTGTACTTGTTTTAAAACACCCTGTACATTGTACATTGTATACTAGCAACTTCTTAGTGAATTGATAAATTTTAGGAGTACGCGAAACAATACCAGACCATATACCCAACCAATAATTCACCTTGGCCGCAAAGATTAACTGATTTACTCCCAATTGAATACGCTTAATCTAGTATGCTAAATATTCGCCGAGCAAACAACCGTTGCAAAAATTATTGCAAATTTTGCTTGCCTACTCTTTCTTTCCGTCGGTTTTTTGAGCATTTCAAGTGCGCCAACCTTACGTGACGGTCTTATTGCGAAACTTCGGCTACCAACTACCACCATTATCAATATTCATGGGCCCACGTACTATTACAATATCGGCTTGCTCAATAATTATCATTTTAATTAAGAATTAATTAAATTGTAAATTTCATTCGACCGTTCTTTCCTGACGTTACATTTTTCCACCTACAAAGTAAGATGTTATCGTTTATAACCTCCAACAGATATAGACGTGAGGGTTCTCTATTCTGTGCTCCATTGCTGATGCGGAGAGAATAGCTAGAATAGTCTGTTCATAAATATAAGAAAGTGATTACTTTTGAATGGGATTATCCAAGGGTGGCCATTAACATACAAGGCAACCATGGACCATAGATGCTGAAAATTTCACAAATTTATCTCTTACGGTTGATTTTTAATCCATTTTTTAATTAAAAGTGCTTAAAATTTTCATTATAAAAAAAGTTAATAAAAAAACTAAATTAAACTAAAGCCGGGAGACAATATAAAACCAAAATCGAAAAAAAAACCGTTTTTTTTTTTCGAATATCTTCGGAAGTGTTCGGAATTTTTCAAAATGCGAAACTTTGTCTCCATTTAACCGACCCTGCATCTCTTACGGTTTGCGAAATCCCAGCATACAAAAATACGACGCGGTATACCTGGTTGCCTACCCGCCGTTCGTTTCTACCGCCAGATGACGCCGATGTCAGCCATTCGGAAATTATGCGTCCCGCATCTTCGGCCACACTTTTCGACATCGAAGGTCCGACCGAAAAGGCGCAGAAAAAGGGCCCGCGTCACAGCATAGACGCGCCCATGGGGGGCAAGCGGCGCTCGTCCTTTTTGACCCTGATGATGCCCGACACGCCATCGGCAGGTTCGTCGTCTTCGGGCGGCTGGCGGGGATCGCTGTCCCACTTGACATTGCCGACGTTTACGATAACCTCACCCGACGGCGAAGGCAGGAAATTCAATTTCGGTCTGGGACTGAGACGTCACTCCCACAATGTCAGTTGAGCCGCACGGATTTGCTCGAAACGTTGCGATATTAACCCGTGTTGCCATAACTACGTTTGCTTTCGATTTGCGGCGCATTGTTTAGGTTGTTGTTGTTAGAAAACAAAAATTTTCAAAGTTGTTAGCAAATTTACGTAATAATGTAATAAGTTAGTAAACGGAAGTTTAAATTAAGCGTTTTTCCTAAACCTTCCGATTCTGCAATGAAAAATATAAAATCAAAATTTTATCTGTCAAAATTTGACAGGTCATTGTTTAAAAATTGAATACACCGCATTTGAATATGTCAATCGATTGCATTTTTTCTCCTGACTTCAAATATGCCGGGTGTTTGAAGTTCGTAAGCGATACGGGGTGGCAAATTAGGGGAAAGTTGCGCATCGGTGAGTTCGATAATGTCCCGTTTTGAAATCGAAATTATTTTCGTTATTTCCGGAAATATGGCGGAAAGTCTGAAACGTCCGATTATCGTTTTTATTTTTTTATGTATTAGCAAGAATCTGCGAATACATTCCGTTACCGAGATCCTAATGGTGAGAGTCCGATGTGAAACACCCGGTATATTTGAAATGAGGAGAAAAAATGACCTGTCAAAATTACAGATAAAATTTTGATTTTATTTTTTTGATTGCAGAATCGCAAGGTTTAGGTAAAATGGTCCAACTTTGGTAATTTAAACATCGTAGGGTTAATATTAACAAAGTTATGCATTTGGTAATTCATAATATTACACCTTGTACTTACATAGAAAATTATTAAAGTGTGTTTACATTGTCTGATTTCCTTTCCGATTTGAGTCTAACGACTTATATCTTACAACACTTATGTTGCTCATGTTTTTATTATTTTCTAAAAAGAAGGACAAAATCGATTTTCAGCCACCATAAAATCGAATTTGAAAACGCTTCATAATTGAAGTGCTTAAAATAATCACAAAACCACTACAAATTCCTCCAAACGGTAACACGTAAACAATGACACTACCACAACAACACTATAGAATCCTGAGATAACAGTGTTTATGTTGCCACTGACTGACGTTTGACGTATCGTGACGTCAGAATTCGTCCTCGCGTGATGTCATATTTATAAAGCTCTTGGTGAACTTTAAATCGATGTGGTTTTGGTTCAAATTAGTGCCATTTTTCGTAATCCTCAGTCGTATGTTTTTTATCATCTCATTGTTATCAATACTTTCTTAATAGGTGCTCTTAAAGCCTGTAGAATCCGACATTTTATAAATGAAATAGAAAATCAAATAAAAAATCGTTGTAAACGCACTTTAAAAGATTGAATTGTGACCATCATATCTAATCTTTTTTTGAGGTTAACAAACATAATTGAAACACTAAGCTGTTGCAATCAAAGTAATCGTTTTTTGATATCAAATATCTGTCTAGTTGATTTTCACTTGTTGAACCCCGTTGCTACATTTAGCGACGCCACTGCCATAATTTTAGCGACCCAAAAGATAAATCGCATGATAATTGTCGTATAGTCCATAATTGGTTTTGTTTTTACGAAATTCTCGCCAATTAAGAAATGTTTTGAGTTTCTTTCGCGACCTTGCCCTGTTGTAATTGTCACATTATTTCTAACATTTTTTTATTTCCCTCTCTCTGCTTTTATCGGGTGCACTTATTTGCACACTTGCACGTTATTCCATAGTTTAAAACGTTTTCCCGTTTTGTAGCATATCCAATGAAACCAAACTAAAACAGCGCTTTCGCAGAGATTTATCGTTAATACACACTCGCACATACTGCTACTATTATGCAAAACTTAAAGAAAACGTGTTGCAATTAACGGTGAAAACTATCTTCCATTTTCTAATGGCTTTTTGCGCGGCGCCAGCCAGAGAATGACATTTGTCACGGACCACTAAACCAATGCAATATTCTGTGCTCTCGGTGTTCTACGCTCCTTTTTACTTTTTACAGATCCAAACGCTTCTTCTCTTAATGATCTGTCTAATGACAACTGCCCAAGCTTCGACGTTACAATAATTTTAGTATAGTCTTCTGGAAATCAATCAAAATGTTCGAAAATAATCTGTTTTGGAACTTGTTTTATGATCATAAATAATTCTAAAAAAACTTATTGCCTTGTAGAACTCAGCTTTGTAATATTAATGGTAATTAAAAAAAAAAGATAGCCTTAATACGATAAACCAAAAACAGCTTTGAAATAAATTAACACATGGCCGGTATTACACAGTATTTTTGAGGGAAGAAATAGTACAACGGTTTCGTATCGTAATATTAAAGTTGCTTTACAGCGTCACCCCTAGAGGGCCAAACTAAATTTTTGTTTAAAAAATACGACGATTAAAAATGGGATAGTTATTAAAAAGCAGCCTGTATACCTATTTTTTATGTAATTTAATGTCTGTTCTGAATTAAAAATAAAAGATTTGACATAAGCCTGCGCCACTGAAATTTTCAAATTATGTCTAACGGCCTAACAGTACTTCTTGGTTTTAATTAGGTAGCACGATTTCATATGTTGTTTGTGTGCCTTTGCAATTTGAATATGATCGCTAATCAATTACCTCTAATTTGAATTGCCTTTTTTGTAGACACGCGCGTTATATTCGCCATGATTTTGAACAATAACCCGTAACAGAGTGATCCCTAACATACTAATAGTTTTAACAGAGCTGCCTTTTTGTTAGAACACCGACAGTCTATCCGGTTCTATTCTGATGTTTCTGACTCGGTTTCAGACGCTGCACAAGAGCGATTCCATGGTATCAGTATGCTTCCAATCGCTGATAACGTTCGTTAACAACGACAACTTGCACGGTTTGCAGTCGTTTTTTGAGTCCAAGCAGGTTCAAGTCGACGACAGGGACGAAGTAAGTCTACCGTTTGGTTAATTATCTTAGTTAAGGACCCGACGCTGCAGTTAGCTGCAGCTGCGATTTCTCGCAAGCTTTATTGCGCCGTGTCAAGTGGCATGTAGCAAATCGCAAACATACCAACACGCAAACCGGCAGGTAGCGTTTAAAAATGTCAAAAATATCAATGCTCGATCGCAGACCACAGAACGTCTTGCACTTAAAGTTTTGCAGTTTAACATAGCCATTCGGCCATTGCCGACATCTGTCGGTAGTTGGCCAAAGATAAAGAATTCTTGTGCGGATGCCCGTTAATGGTCTGCTTGTCCAGTTGTTTACGAAGAGTGGGTTAAGTTGATATTTTTATGACACTGCACTGCACTTCGACAAAATTGTGTGCGTTTTATCGACTAATGGTTTACGTATATCGTCTTAGAATGGCACCACCGCGCTCATGGTGGCTGCGGCCAAAGGCAAATCGGCTTTCGTCCGCGAACTGTTGGCCAATGGCGCCGATCCCAACGCGGAAGACAACGACGGTTGGACCGCCTTACTCTGCGCAGCCAAAGAAGGCCACCTGGACGTCGTCATGCAGCTTTTGGAGCACAACGCCGAGCTGGACCACAGAGATATGGTAACGATACACAATTAGTTTTACATAATAATGATAATAATAATAATAATAAACTGTGTTTACTGTCTTACAATATAAGTTAGAATACTAGAGTGGCGACATTTGCAAATTGCGCTCTTCCACGTAACCACAAGAACAGCACCAATACCACACTTGTCATCAAAATATACGTCTTAAACTCGTACGCTTCTGCTAGATACTGATAATAGATACAATATTATTGCTTTTTTGAATGACTATATTGTGGAGAGGGAGGCAATATGTTAAACAATGGAGAGTGTCTCGATTATGTCTCGGAGTCTTATTGGAGTTTTGTAATAAGACAAAGGTGGCTGACTGAACTTTATAAAGGTCTTCCAGCTTGAGCCAACCCAAATACAAATACAAGCATTCTGAAGTCGTTGAAGTCTCTTCTTATCTCGATTAGTCTCTCGACTTACCTGGCCAATTTTACGGTACTGCAATAAGCGACATAGGATAAAACTGACATATCACAGAGTTTAAGTTTGACTTCTTTACTGAGATGATGTTTATGAATATACAATGTCCTCAGCTTATAGAAGCATTTTTGTAACACCAAGCCAACATGTTTAGAAAACCGCAAACTCACCGTCAAACCATAAACCCCAATTTTTACACAGAAGGCCAGATCATATGATTTAATGTAATCTTAAAAGAGACATTTCTTACAATTTGCAAATAATAACATCTGCGTTTTGCTAGTATTCAATAATAGGTTATATGAGGTTTAGAGGTTAGATTCAAGTTTATTTTAGTAGCAGCATTTAAAGCTTCACTAGCAACAAAAGATCAATATAACTGAGTATCATCGGCGTGTTGTTTCACGGTAGGGAGGCTGGACCGCCCTCATGTGGGCGACCTACAAAGGTCGTACGGAGGTCGCCCTTCATCTATTGGACCGAGGGTCGGAGGTTAACGCCCACGGCAATTTCCACATCTCCTCCCTCCTGTGGGCGTCCGGCAGGGGCTACACCCAAATCGTCAAGGCCCTGATCGACCACGGGGCCAAGGTCAACGTCGGCGACAAATACGGCACCACCGCCCTCGTGTGGGCCAGTCGCAAAGGTTACACGGAAATCGTCGAGATACTGTTGAGGGCCGGTAAGTTTGTTTATTGCAATGGCTTGGAGAAAAAACGCAAGATCATAACCTACAAATAGTTGTATTGGTTTTATCTTCTGCCTCTTGAAAATTATAATATGTAGTAAAATACGGGGATGCTCTGTTATTAGTTTTACTCATAGCGTTTTAAAATTTAATTTTTTGCGTACATATCGTTTACATATTTTAAATACAAAAGTTACAGAAACACGTTATACATGTATATTATTATTAGTTGCGTTAGTTGGTAAACATCGCTATATGTCAAATAGAAAAAAGAAATGACTTACCTGTGTTTCGCTACTGCTAACTCGGACAAGTTTGACACAAAATACTGGAGAACCGAATCGGCCTTGCATTCACATTTAAGTGAGCTATGTAGTTTTAGAAACTTTTTCCAAAATAAAAAGTTAAAAAAAAACAGTTAAAATCACAAAACCATGCACGAAATAAATGTAAGGTTAAGATTTGATGTACTAGAAATAAGTTCAGCGAAGCTGCAATTTTGATTTGAATTCCCATTAGAGAATACTTAATAAAATTGAAAGACCATCAATACGAGTAATTAATGGAATTATAATGTGCATGGTGTTCCGTTCGATTTTTTTAACGAAAATTAATATCTTTCATTTCGACTCGACCTGTATAAACGATTCGAACTAGCTTTACTTTGTAAAATAGTTGGCATATTAAAATTACAGCTGTCGAAAATGGGGTCAAAAATATAGAGTTTTAAATACAGGCCATTTTTGACAAAAAAAAAAGGTCTTAAATCAGAAAACACTCGGTATAGGACGTAACAACGCGTATAAAAGGGAGTATCAATTTTGAAAAAAGTATGTTTGGTTTCCCGCATGAATTACCCTGTATATTTGAAAATTATTTTTAAATTGTTTCTTTTAGTCTCACCTATAACCTTTGTATTTAACATTTTTCTCTAAAACTAATAATTAGCGAGATATCTTACTTTGACACACTAATTCGACACCCTCTATATATACCGTGCGTTCAATTTATCTTTTTAGAGCTATCAGGGTAAACAAAAAAAAAAACAAAATGTAGCCAAGTTTTTTTCCCCAAATGACGTATAAAACACAACACCCTGTATATTATATGTGTTTAATAGAATATCTTATTCCGATACAATACAATTACACTTTTTATTTTTGTCCTCTCGTTTTTGACAAATCTGCAAAAATAGGAAATTTTTATGGCAAAGAAAAATATGTTTATATTTGACATATTAGTAAACAACGTTGATAGCTGAATTATTGTCGAAGTCATTATTGTTAAAAAGGAGTGATATGCTTCGCGTATACTTTCTGAATAATAAAAGTGCAACCGCAGCTTGTCGTCAGTATATTAAGTATATTAGATTTTATCCAGAGCGCAGAACAATGTCGAAGGAGGATGCAGTTTTGTTTGGATTTTTTTAAATAGACATAATAAGAATAATAGACAAAATACGCGATATTAGTCTTTAAATAATCCTAGACAAATACAAAATTAAAATCCCAGGTGTCCCAATCAATTAATACAATTCTTAGAGCACCAAATAGAACAATCTATAGAAGATTTAGCCGTATAAGTCCCATAAGTGGCATACCAAAATAGGACAAGGTAAAAATATTACGATTTAACGAGACTTACCTTAGCCCGAAAGTTCCCCAAATCATAAACCTTTTTTTGGCAAAATTTGGCAAATGTTCATTTTTTTGACATGAGAATAATTTAAAATGTTAGCAAGGTACTTTTTTTAAAAAGTCTCGACGTTGACGTCGTTTTCAGGGGCCAATATCGATACCGCCGGCATGTACTCGTGGACGGCACTGATAGTGGCCACGTACGGCAACCACGTGGACGTGGTGAACCTGTTGCTCGAGCACAAGCCGAACGTGAACGCGTTAGATAAGGACGGCTGCAGTCCGCTCACCATCGCCTGCAAAGAGGGTTTCTACGAGATCGCCACCGCCTTGTTGTCGGCCGGTGCCTACATTAACATCCAAGTAGGTACGGGGCGGGGTAAAAACTGACCAGGTATTCCGTTTATTGCGGGACGACGCCTTATCTCAGAACCTCTTGCCGGTCGCTGAAAAATTTGTCCAAAGCTTCGGTATAATCCCACGTTTAACGGGCTCAAATATGACGGAAACATTTTCTTTTTCACCAAGAATATTGTTAAGAAAATTCAATTTTAGTTTAATACAGCCAAATATGAAAGAAAGGTAAAAAAAAAACAGATTAAGCGTTTATATTGTTCAAAATTCGGGAGAGCGTTTTTAAAAACATTTATTTATACGGTTTTATTCGGACTAGCCGATACAAAGGCTGGAATAATTAGGAGCGTATTTTACAATGCGGCAATCGAATAGCATCGATGCGCTATCTTCGCTTAGCTTTGGACTTCGTCTGCAGTTCGCGACACTGCAAAGGATTTCTGAATGGTTTTTACCAGGAATATTGTTTACCACATACATCTAGGAAAATAATTTTTTTTATTGTTAATACCACCATTATTTTAATACGTCCTAATATAAGAAAAAAAAAAGATTAAGCAGTCCTATTACGAGGGTGGTGTGAAAAGTTTCCGGCATGACCAAGAAAAACGGTGTTTTAAATTTTTGTTTTGCTTAATTTTTCAACATAATCCCCACCATACAAAATACTGATTTATACCTTCGATAATTGCTTCGTTACTCTTAAATCCTTAACCGCGAAGCCATTTTTTGAGGTTACGAAACAGGTAATAGTTTTTCCAATTTTTCAAGACAATGGAAGCGTCTCCCGCAATGTTGTCTCAAACGTAGCGATTAGACTGAACATGTACGTGCAAGATCGGTAGGAATGGTGCCAGCACTACAAAAGTTTCAGAAATTCGGTGTCAATTGGTGCGCCAATAGTTTAATCAATCCAAATTGCCAGTGCAAACACTTTTTCTTTCACCACGCCAAAAGGTTCTTGGCTTAAAAGCCATCAACCCACTCGAGAATTCACTATTTTCAAAAAGGGTCGTGATTTTCTTTATCACTCCAACCACGAAATAATGGATAATAATGGCATTATGTTGTACTTCTTGCGCACTTTGCACTTTTATAATTGATATTTGTGAGAAACCTTAGCTTTTTATCAAAGGAAACTATTAGTGTTACAAGTTTTGTAAGACGTCCAATAAATTCCAAAACACTTTTATCATCATTATCGTCACAGCCTTACATCTCTTCTGGTCCCTTGCAAGGAGCATCCAGTTTGCTCCACCAATTGTTTCAGCATTTTCAAAGATCCTGTCACTCTGTCTTTCTTCCTCTGCCTGTACTACTTGTTGCTATGGCCTTAAAGTTCCTTTTTGTGAGCACGGTGCTGTCGTAGAGTGCTACCTGTCTTGGCCGCTTAAGACTCTCAATCATAGCTTACCTATTATCACCACAAAGTTTTTCTTCTACATAACTCCGCCTGCTACTACTTGTCCTGCCAAACGTCTAAGTGATGCATTGCAGTATAGAGTTCGTACGGGAGATTGGTAACACCAGCAGGCAAGTGAAGCTATCTGCTTCATATGTGGGTATCGCTACCCCCCCTCCCCCCAAAAAAAAAAAAAACACGAAGTTTTATGATATTGACTTCAAAACGTTTCTGTTACTTCATTTATAAAACCTTTGGTTAGTGCCTCAGTTAAAAGGGCGGTTTTATAGTTTACTATATATATTTTATAGCGACTATGATACCTACTGATGCCCCATGTGTTTTGAACGACCGTCAATGGCGGGATTTTCCAAGCCGCTCTCGTTTGCACAATTTTAAAACGCAGTTCTAGTTTAGTTCTAAACTTTATCTGAATATTAAAAAAAAAACAAATAAATAACCAAAACTGAATAGCGAGGTTATGCTTCCATAGTTGACATTTGACATTAGTTTTTTTTTGTTTAGTGTTCGTTAGTTACTTTTTACGTTATAAAATGTTTTAAACGACTTCAGTTTTAGGGTGGATAAAATATAAGTAGAGTTTTTCAGTTGTTTTAATATTCATTAAGACGCTTTCGAGATACACGAAATAAAATATATTGTAGGTAAATATTATGGAAAATGGTGAAGGGAAAGGGGCGTAAAATGAAACTGTACTTTTTTTACTATTTCAGGACAGGGTGGGCGACACAAATTTGATACACGCCGTGAAGGGGGGCCACAAGAACATCGTGGAGGCGCTGCTCAAAAAGTACGCGGATGTCGATATACTAGGCAAAGATCGTAAATCGGCCACTTACGTGGCGGTAGAAAAAGGCAACGTGCAAATCGTTAGGCTTTTGCTGAACCAAAATCCCGATCTCGAACAGTCCACCAAAGACGGAGACACGCCCCTTTTAAAAGCTGTCAGATCGAGGTATGTCGCACGCCGCGTATACTTTATCTCCAAGTATATCGTTTTGGATTTTAACGACAGTAATCATATATAATAATAATAAAGTTTGGCACTTCTAGCGTCCTTTTGTAGGAACAATCTCGTTTACCAATCTTGTCTAAACGGTTAAATAAAACATATCCATCATAACCTAAAAATATCAAATGAAATGAATATACTTATTTTTCCAGTTCCATTTTAAACTATTAAGTGTCTCAAGTAAATAAGTGACTGCTTTAACAAATGAACTGCTAAAACTCGATTTCGTATGATGAGGTTATCTGTTTTGCAGAAACGCCGAGATAGTTCAATTGCTGCTGGACAAAAAAGCCAAAGTGTCGGCGACCGACAAAAAGGGAGACACCGCCCTCCACATAGCGATGAGGGCGCGCTCCAAAGCGATCGTGGAAATTTTGTTGAGGAACCCGAAACACAGTCAGCTCTTGTACCGGCCCAATCGAAGCGGAGAGACGCCCTACAACATTGACATCAGTCATCCGAAGACGATATTGGGACAAATTTTCGGTGCCAGTGAGTCCGCCTTTTTGCTCCTAAAAAATATGTAAAAATATAAAAATCACTTAAATGTGTAATTAAAAAAGTTAAAAATATAGGTTTTTAGTCTTTTTGCAATATCGAAGTAGTAGAATAGTCATATTTGGCGGGAAATTTTTGAATTGTCGAGAACCTTCGAGTCTCTTCGGGTTTTCCCGGTAAAAGGGGCTGAGAACCGGCACAACTATCCTACTTACTTAAAATCGATATTAACATTTGTTTCCAACTTTCACCCCTGTAAGCGATTCATTTTATTATTTTAAGGTAGCTTTGAACGGTTGTTCTTACAAAAAAACTGTTTTGACTTCAACAAATTTTTCAGATTTTAAGTAATTCATACACATAAAATAAGAAATTATACAGATACATTTTTTTTTTATTTAAAAGAATCCATTTATTTTTTTGATGCTCTTTTTTTTTCGATTAAAAAGATGTGTTCGTTTACTTTTAGTTCCTTGATATTTTTTTATTTATAAAAATGTCGTTTTATTTCGTTTTATTCTGTTAGTTTTTTTTTTAAGAAAGATCTGTTGCTTTTTTGATATTTTTGCTTTTAATTGAAATAAGATCCGTTTATTTCTTGAATTTTTATGAAAAAAAGAACTTTTTTTTTTTTGTTGCAGAAAGCATCCGTTCCTTTTTTTATGTTTTTATTTATTTTTTAAATAAAAAAGTGTCCTTTTATTTTTTTTATTTATCTAAAGGAACGTTAGTTAAAAAGTTCCGTTAATGTTTTCTTTGACAGAAGAGAGGTCCGTTAATTTTCTTTTTTTTTTAAACAAAAAGGATCCTTTGCTTTTTTGACATTGTTATAAAATAAACGTTGCTTTTTTTATTAAAACAAAAAAATTCCTTACTCTTTTTTAATTAAAAAAAGATCCGTTAATTTGTACATTTTTTATTTGAAAAAATGAAAAAGGCTTATTAGCTTTTGATTTTTAAATGAAAAAAATCTGTTCGTTTTTTTTCTAATAAAAAAGATTTGCTCCTAGATTTTTTATTTGAAAAAAATAGTTTTTTATTTTTATTTTAATAGAAAAGGTTCCCTTTTTTTAATTCGCTGTTTTGATGATTTATTCTTTTTTTTATTTAAAAGAAAATGTTTTGTTTAGTTTTTATTTGATTTTTTTAAAAATTTATTCAAAGAAAAAATATCCTTTTTTTTTGTTTAACAAAAAAAAGATCCGTTACTTTTTCGTCTTTTAATTTTATTTTATTATAAAAGAGGTTGATGATTCTTTTATTTGAAAGAAAATGTTAGTTTTTCTTGAATTTGAGTTGAAAAAGGATCCTGTGTTTTTTTTTCTTTAACGACAAGAAAAAACCGCAACATGATTGATTTTTATTAAAAAAAAAAGAAGTTTTGCTTTTTCGATTTTTTTTTTTCAATTAAAAAGATCTGTTCGCTCTTTTTTAATTAACAGAAGATCCGTTGGTGGTAGCGATTTTTTTAAATAAAAAGATCTGCCTTTTTTATATTTTTACTAGTAAAAAATATGTTTTTTTTAATTTTTATTTAAAAAAAAAACGTTTTTTTTTTTAATTTTATAGTTAAAAATAAGATCCTTTGTTTTTTTTTAACAAAAATATCCGTTACATTATTGATTTTTTTTTAAAGGTCCTTTAGTTGCTTGTAATTTTTTTAGTTAATAACGTTAGTTAAAAAAAGATCCGTTGGTTTTTTTTTGTTTAACAAAAATAAAGAGCCGTTATTTGGTATGGTTATAAAAAAAATGTTCCTGTTTTTATTAAGAGAAAATCTCCATTAGCATTTTTAATTAAAAAAAGAACCTTTTAAGTTGGTTTTTTTTTTTAATTTAAGTTGAGGATCGTTTACTTTTTGATTTTTTTTATTTACACAAATATGTTCGTCGCTTTTTTTGATTTTTAAAAAAATGGCAAAATGACTTTCGTTTTCAGGGCGCTTGAACACGAACGAAGATAACGAGAACATGTTAGGTTACGATCTGTACAGCAGCGCCCTCGCAGACATACTGAGCGAACCTTCCTTGTCCATGCCCATAACGGTTGGGTTGTACGCGAAGTGGGGTAGCGGCAAGTCGTTTTTGCTGAACAAACTGCGAGGTAAGTGCGATCAATGTTTATTTAAACTCTGTTCGTCGAGACGAGAGAGTGATAAAACTTTTTTGAGGTAGCACCGATCCGATTTACCCGGTGCTTTTATATTAATTATGCGAGGAAGTGGCTTGTCACGGGCGTGCCTTTGGGTATAATAAATATATAAACATAAACATAATTTTCACACTTAGGGACGTATATACTGCAAAAGAATTACTCGTTTATCAGATGTTTCGCATTTTTTTCTTCTTCGTTTATATACTTAGTGTTCGGTTTGAACTATTATATCAATGGAAACTTTGTGTCAAGTGTCCAATCTCTGATGGACCTAGGTGTGACAGTAACTAATGATCTTGCGTGACCTGTACATGTATCAAATATTGCAAAGCAAGCAAACCGCGCGTTATTTTTGTTAAAAAAGACTTTTCAACAAAAAACTGAGACCTATAAAAACAAAAATGTAATTTTTTCAATAAACAGCCCCACCACTGGCACCTATTTTATTTGAATACAATTTCGAAACTTTTATTCCAAAAACTGCGGAAAACTTCGTTGCAAGTTGCATTTTTTTTTTCAGATAGGCGACCCTGTTTAGTTTCCCCCTCCCTAGGGAGTTTTATTACTCTCTGCCGACGGATAGACTATAGGGGGTACATCTAGCGGTTATTTTTTTTTTTTTCATTTTTCAGAGGAGATGAAGAGCTTCGCGCGCCAATGGGTAGACCCGATCTTCCAGTTCTCCAGTCTATTGTTTCTGGTGATTTTGCATTTGTCGTTGATAATCTCGACGTTTGTTTATATCGCGATAGAGTCGACCACCAAAGACCTGCAGCCTGAGTTATGGTCGTTCAGTGTCGGGCTTGCGTTCTGTGCGCTCTGCTGTATATTTATGCTGTTTGTGTGGTTCGCTGGCAAAAGGTACCCACCCACCCCCGTCGCCCCCCGCATCACGCTTCTTCGGTGCCTCGCGAATCCGCTCTTGTTTTTTTTTTTCAGCTACGACTGGGACTGGCCGTACAACTTCAACGCGAAACTCAGCCAGAAAATGAACAATCTGAAGCTGGTGCTTCAGATACTGTTTTGTCATCCGCCCGGGTTGACGTCACAGGACGGTATATCCGCCCAGCCCATTCAGTAAGTAAAGTCTGTTCATAGATATACGAAGTGCATGAACATTATAATTTTCACCAGTCGTCGCGAATATATTTGTGGAAGCCTTTGCCAAGAAAGCTCTGTACACCTTCCATCTAAAACCAAAAATATTATATTTAGCCTTATGGTTAACAATCCCTCCAAGATTTTCTTAAAGTCTGTTCATAGATATAAGAAAGTGACTAACTGATACGAATTAAGGAAATGCCCGGGCAAGCTGTAAGAATGAAATATGGCCGAACAGGTCCGTACTTTGCTTAGAATTTAATTATTTAGGGTTTTGTTAGGAAAGATACTAAACAATATTTATTTATTTATTTATTTATGTATTTATGTTTAAATCTAAAATAAAATTACAAATTATTTTTAATCCTATAATCTTGTTGCATTGTATGTTAATGACCACCCATTGAAAAGCAATTGGTAACTTCCTTATATCTATGAACAGACCATACCTCTACGTATACCGTTAAATAAATAAGGTGACGTCACAAGCCCGATTCACGAAACCGACGAATTATTATTTATTTTGCTTCAAAAAAAAACCCGATTGGTGAAATTTTGTTAAAAAATTTCCATGATTTCGGGAATTATTTGAAAAAATCAAACATTGAGTTGCAATTTTGACACCCTGTATCTCGGTTAATATCAACTTTTGGACGAAATTAAGTTTCGTTAAATCGTAATATTTTTACCTAAGAACCACTTATGGGACACCCTGTATATGAGTAACATATTTTTTTTTGTTGCAGGGCAGTCGTCTTAATTGTTGACAGAAAATAATTCTAATATTAATTTAAGATTAATTAAGATTGAACTGATGTGCCGTGCGCTCAATTTATCTTAATATCATTTTAATTGGGGCTGTAACTGTTTTGTTTTTAGAGATATTTGCTAATTTTGACCACGTCTTCTCCAGCCAATCGTTAGTGATGTTTCTGTCGACATCACGGGCTTCGCCACTTATCTGTCCATAATTTATACCACGTCTCTGTTTGAACTTCTTCAACCATCCTTCCGAAGCTTTGAAATCGATAACGCCAAGCTGTTCAGCAAACTTTTCTGCTTTTAGTTTTACGATAGGTCCAGAGAGTGGTATATTTTTAAGACGTTGCTGTTGGAACCATTGCAACATTGCCCGATTCAAATCTTCAAATTTTGGCTTTCTTTGGCTTTTTTCTTTGGCTTTTTACTAGAATTTTCTTTGCAGTTTCAAATCGTGGATACAGTCGACGGTGTAAGTCCGCATCGACGTCCCACATCACTTTTCTTTTTTCCCCGTTCTATCTCTCGAATCAAAGCAACTTTATCATCTAGAGATAAAATATTTCCCTTACTTGCCATGCTTGCCGTATTCACTAAGTCATTCCTTACTTTGTTACCTTTGTTGCCCTTTCTTTCGGTATAGAGAGTGAGAAAATCGTTGTACAGAGTGGTTTAATGTATAGCTTTATATGGAGGCCTAATAGTACAACAAATTTTGTTGAATTGTATGACATTGCCCTAAACCGTATTTTTGCGGATAAACGTTCTATTATTATTATTTTTATTATTATTATTTTCGGCAATTATGTCCACTCTATTCATGTCATTCAATCAGGTTCTACTTCACTGACCAAACGCGCGTCAGCAGTACCACCGGCGGCGAGAACTCAGTAGTTCAAATGATCGGCTCCTTGTACGACTCCATCGAGGCGCATTACGGGTCTCTGGCCACCCGATTGTACAGGTCTTTTCGACCCAAACCAGGTACGTCATAAAACGAATCCCACATTTGTAATCATTGTTGCCTTAGGTCATAGATAAAATCTGAAATTAGAGACTCCTATACAAGCTATCTACCGAAAATTCAATATGACATTAAAAAATATATACTCAGCTCTTTCGCACTATGTTTTCGAGAGTCATTTTCTATCGGGGATTCTCTGGATAATTTTAATAATATTACTAATTCACATCACCCTGAAGATATAAACGTAAGAAGTTTTTTAAAGTCACTCAACCTGAATTTAATTCCAGCATTTTTTGAAGGAAGATCCGCCATTACCAATTTAACTGCTATGTTTCAATATTGATGGGGGTCCATATATCTTGATTTTTCAAAAGCGTTAGATCGCTTAGGTGACGAAATTCTAATACTTTTGGATTTTCCGAATCGTTTGTTAATTTGTTTTCTTCATACTCAGTACTCTATGGTCACACTTCCGATGAGTACATTGCTTCCTCAGGCGTTACTCAAGGCTCAATGTTGGGGCCATTATTATTGAACATTTTCGTTAATTCGTTAATGATAACGAACTTTCTGACGTTTCGTCAATCATCCTGTTGGCTTCTTCAGAGCTTGAGTGAAACTCAGGTCTTTACCTTTAGCTCCGCCCATCTCGGACAGTATTTAAACAGATACATAGTAGAATGCGAGTCACAGAAAAGATAAAAATTGGAGTGATCGCCGTAATTGAGATTATTTTTATGAATTTATTTAAAATTTTAAATAACTGACCTATTATATGGACTAAATTTTTTTGTTCCCCTTATTACTATGCCCACACTAATAACAAACATTTTAAAATTTTCACGTATTTTTTCAGTGAAATCTTCGTCGTCGTGGACTTGGAGGAAAATGTGCTGCTTGCCATACGTGGTTTTATTCGAAATTTCGTTTTGCGTGATCGTAATCGGTTTGAGCGCTCTGGCCTACTACCTGAATCGTATGTTTAGTAAGAAGTAAGTAGGTTTTTCATTCAACTAGCGGGTTAAGGTGTGTCTCACAGTGTATCGTTCGGGCTTTTGAACAACCAATTATTCTTTCAGAGATCAGGGCCAAGAAATTGTTAGACCAATAAAATCTCCAACAACTCACCAACTTTAATAAAAATCTACAGCTCACGAATTTTCTTCCTTGATTTAATATTTATACTTATTTATATTTATTTATATACTGATTGCTTGTTTGAAAATAAATAGTATTAAATGCCTAACCAAAACTAACTTATCTTATTTTTAATTATTATTATGGCGCAATAAATATTTAAGAATATTGGAAACATATGGAGTTTCCTCCATATGTTCTGGTCTTGTAGGGGGATTCAAATATACGCCTTGTGGAGTCTTACTTCCAACATAGTACTTTTTTCAACCTCGCCATTCAACTTGAGGGAAATCCATCCGTACTTTTTTACTTTAGTCACACCACAAGAAATTTTATGAATTTCTTAACTCAGTTGTCAGTAAGTAATAATAAATCGCCAAGTTTTAGAAATACACATCTTCAATAAAAGCTGTAGGTTTTTGTAAGGTTTTTCAGAATGAATAATATGTTATGTGGTGTCCTATTTAATAAAATCGAGATTTTTAAGCTTAATATGGTCCAAATATATTCGATTTATTTTGAACGCCCTGTATCATCTAATTGAAATTCCCTTGCATGTATGTTTTACGTAATCTTAGAATTCCTTTAAAAATAATTTTGCAACTGTGAAAACTAATATTATTTTTAGAAAAATGAAAATATTAGGTTTAGGTATCAATAAGAACTAAAAGTTCAGATTTTCACGATATTATATATTTTCACACGACAATTTTTTAGACTTAACTAATACGAAAACCCAAAACAAATTAGATTTTTCCATTTATCATAACCTTTCACACACCGACACAGTCATACATAACAGTTCAAATCACCCTTATACACACAAAATTTCACTCTTTCATACACAGACTTCTTAATACGCCACTCTCAACAGAAAATTACAACTAGGAACTTAATATCATTAAGCAAATCGCACTGAACAACGGCTACAATCCGTCAATTATCGATAAAATTATAAATAAAAAACAAATCCAGACAACAGTAAGCTTTATTTATCCGAAATCTAATACAGAACACGAACAATTTTAAACAATTACATACATAGGAGGACCCAGTGAAAAAGTTTCAAAACATTTGTCAAAATGTGGTTTAAAAATAGCTTTCACAACTAACAACACAATAGGAAAATTTTTAAAAAACAATAAAACGAAATGTTCAAAATCTCAAAAATCAGGCGTCTACAGGTTGAAATGCGGATCTTGCCCTAAACTGTAATTAATAATTATGTAACACACTTAACCACAGAAAAACACATTTTTGACGACAATTTTTTGATATTTTACATACAGCCACAAAAAGTAGAAAATTAATATCTCCTTCATTGAACTTAAATTTAATTTTCACAACCTTAATTAAGGTTTTTTTGCCACTTTTCGGTATATATAGCAGCAGGTAGTTTGTAAATATTACATTGTGATCTGAACTTTTAGTTCTTATTTATTTTTTTAAATGGATTTTCATTAAGTAAAAGCCACCTCAGAGTTCAATAAGATAATGAGCTGTCCTCTATCGTTAACACTGCACTGAACTTTTGTGGCACTAAGTAAATTCAAATTTAAACGCAGTGCGAATTTAATTAAAAATCCTTTTTTCCCCGCCCGGTATAAGCTCGATTTTCCAGCGACGAATCGGATGTGGCCAAGTCCACCTTAGAGATAATACTGATCGTGGCCGCTTTCCTGCTGGCCATCGTCACCGTGGCGAACGTCTACACGTGGAGCAAACTGTTCAGGTCGATGTTCTTCTCGCAGCGAAGGCACCTGCAAAAATCCATATCGAAACTGGAAACGCTCAAGTCCGAGGGTTTCCTCCAGACGCTCAGGCAAGAGGTAAGTAAGCACCTTGCTCGTCGTTTTGTGGCGGGCACACTAGAAGGGAGGGGCGTCGTTTCACAGGTGAACCTGATGAAGGACATGGTCAAGTGTCTGGACGGTTTGAGCTCGCAGCAGACCCGGCTGGTAATCATCGTCGACGGGCTGGACAGTTGTGAGCAAGAGAAGGTGCTACTGATCCTCGACACCGTGCACATGCTCTTCTCCGACGCCAACGCCCCCTTCATTGTGATATTAGCTATAGATCCGCACGTCATCGCCAAGGTATGGTCTGCTTATAGATATAAGAAAGTGACCAATTGTTTTTGAATGGGATTATCCAAGGGCATACAATGCAACAAGATTATTACCTAAAGTTTCGGTAAATTCCGTTTAATATTCTTTGGTTTGGTATATTACTTAGTTTAAGTTTATTAGTAATCATTCTTATTTCGTGTGTAACACGGCGTGTGTTGAATCGTGTGCGAGTTATGCAAAATATGTGCCAGTTTAGTGTATCTCAGGAGATGCTCCCGCCCAAACGTAGAAAACACTATTCTATTGAGATTAAGGGAGTTCTAAAAAATGTCTATTTGACTCTCATTGAACGTGGTGCAAGCAAGCAAGCATCTTTAGAAGAAACGGCCACATTGACGAAAATTCCAACATCAACTGTATGGAAAATTGTGAACAATCCCATTTCAGCGAGGAAAAAAAGAAGCGATCCTGACATTTTCTCAAGTGTAGATGAAAGTGATCAAGATATAATACGGCGTAAAATTTACCAGTTATACGAGGAACAAAGAGTGCCTACATTAGATATTTTAATTAGGAGGCTTGAAAAAGATGAATCCGGTGTTAAATGTGTCAGAACTACCTTATGAAAGTGTATTCAACACATGGGTTTTAGATTTTAAAAAATTGGCAAAAGGCAAGTTTTAATGGAATCTTTTAGAATTCGGAAATGGCTACTGGAATATCTATAAAAAATTAGGATTTACAGAGAACAGAGGCCAATTATTTACTTGGATGAAACCTGTTTCGACACTTATGGTACCCCGGAAAAGGTTGACTCAACTGATAAGTTTAAAACAAACGCGCCATCAAAAAGAGGTAATTTTGCATGCTGGCTCTAAAGATGGTTGGATTCCAAATGGACTTTCTCTGTCTGCGAAAAATATTAAAGATTCTTCTCTGGATTGCCATGACGACACCACCGCAGATTTATTTGAAAGTTCCAAACATTCCTCCTAATAGCGTCATTGTAATGGACAATGCTAGTTATCACAGTAGACAGTTGACTAAATCCCCTTCCTCATGTGACACAAAAGCAACAATCCAAAACTACATGTATAATAACGACATTTATTTTCACGAAGATTATACTAAAAAGCAATTAATTGAGGTTCTACAAAGCTTGAACCTACAAAAGGAATACGTCTCTACGATTTAAACATAAATACATACATACATAAATAAATATTGTTTAGTATCTTTCCCAACAAAACCCCAAATAATTAAATTCTAAGCAAAGTACGGACCTGTTCGGCCATATTTCATTCATACAGCTTGCCCGGCTCTTTCCTTAATTCGTATCAGTTAGTCACTTTCTTATATCTGTGAACAGACTTGACCGTTGCTAAGTGCTCCGTTTCAGGCGGTCGAAATGAACACGCGACGGTTGTTCAACGACAATAATATCGGCGGTCACAGTTATCTCAACAACATGGTACACTTGCCGTTTTACCTGCAAAATTCGGGACTGCGCAAGGTGAAGATCGCGCAGCAGACCGCCTCGGCGCATCGGAAGGCGACCACGTCTGCAGGCTGGTCCGAAAACGACGAAAACTTGAACACTTTCCTGGCCCGCTCGGTGAGTCAGCCAGTTCTGGCTTCACGTATTTCTTATATTTATTAAGTCAATTTTTCAAAGAAACTTCCACAGGCTACTGTAATATCATCCCATTGGCTTCTTCAGTTTCAGTCAAACTCTGAAGAAGCCAACGGGCAGAGTCCGTTTCTATATGAAAACTTGGGAAGAATGCACAATTAAATTACAGGCTGCTACAAAAGTAAAAAGTATAAGCCTATTTTGCAAGTTAATAAGTGAAAATAGTAAGCTATGCTTGTTTAGATCTGATTCCTAAACCTACCCACGGTATGAATTATGTCCATAATTGGAGCTGTGGTATGGTACAAAAAATGTGCTATTTCGATGAGTTATTCGTATTAATGCCGAAGACCCAATTTTTCACAGAAGGGAAGTTATTAATTCCAGGAGCACCTGGAATTAATAACTTTGAACAGCAGCCATAATCGATGTTACCCAAGTCGACACTAAAGTTTTTCAAAGAAACTTCCAAATGCTACTGTAATACTCTGAATCGCCAATCATCCTGTTGGCTTACTCAGAGCTTAATCGACACTGGCTCATATTCTACTCTACACCTGCTTATGTATTGTTTGGGGGGCGGAGCTAAAGGAGGGGAACATTGTCTCGAATGATTATTGGTGAAAGGTAGAGACCTCAGTCGCGGTTAAGATACATTCAAGAATTTTAGTTTTATCGAATAAAATTTGATGAGTTTATTATGGCTAATGAGTCTTAACGTTAATAATTTCTCGTTCTTAGATATTCTCATCAATAGAAAATCATACCTAACGTTGGGTCATTTTGTTTACAGAAAACCTACGCACACAGACCGATACTTTAATGCATTGTCACATCACGTCAAGAAATTAGTCATTCATTTTTTTGCAATTTAGATCTTTTCACTTCTTAGACATTCTGGAGGTAAAGGATTCATCACTCGTCATTTCTGTTTTCTTAATATTCATGATTGTGTTGTGTTAAATGAAATTCCCCAATTCCCAATTTCCAAATGCCAATTTGGACGACTATATTCTGAAAGACACATAACCAAAACCGGTATTGACTGTTTTAAAGGAACGATAATGATTTTTTTTTTTCAATTTCTTTCTGTCTCTGTCTCTGTCATTTGGCATAGATTAACCAAAAACAACCAAAAATTCCAGAAGTTAAAGCGCCAACTACACTTGTGTCTCTTAATTAAATTTTTAAAATTAAAATTTTTTTAGTAAGGCGGGGGACGTAGAAGTCACCAAACCAAACTACTAGAAAAATTTCAAACCTGTGAATTTGATGCTTCACCTATGATTATACTTAGGTGTTTCAAAATAATTCTTTCGAATATTATTTACCCATTACTTAGTGACATCGACAATATATATATATATAATAATAATAATAATAATAGTCAACATTGTATCACAAATACATCAGATAACAATAATATACGAAACACAAAGAAAATCTGTGTTACAAAAGGACAGATAATAAGAGAATGACTGTTTTGATAACAATGATTTGGACAGCTGCTTCCTGAAATTATATTTAGACTTTAATATTTGAAATTTATTTAGTTGATTATTAAATACTTTTGTCACGCAATAAGAGTAGGAGCAAAGCGTATAAGATAGAGGGGAAGGCTCCCATTGGTGGCAATATCCAGTCATGAAAGCGGAAGACGCGAGACGAGGAAATTTTTTTTGAAATAGTTTTAATTTTTTTTGTATTAAAATATAATTCGTTAGAAGCTACTTTAGTATTTTAAACCGCCATGACAGTACTTTAGTACTTGGACACAAATAATAGATGGCATTCGTAACAGTATACGCGACCTTCTCCTCTATCTTATACTCTTTGAGTAGGAGTACTTGATAGTTTCCATTAAGTGAGCTGTAAACGTTGGGTACCTTTAAGCCGAATATTGATATTGTCAGTCAGAAAGCTAATTCTGTTATCTTCAATCTTTTCCTAATATTCACTTGTGCTCATGACCACCGTATCACTTTCATCTGCTTTCAGAATTACAATGTTTAGGCTTTGGAATATTAGATTTCTAGGAGGTTTTGATTTTTTAACGAATTTCCTTAGCTGTTTGATACGGCCGTTTGCTCAGTGATATTCCAACTTTCTGCTTTTGAGCTTGCTGTCCTCTCCACAGTAATACTATTTACAAAACAATATTTTATCCTGCATTTAGTCACGTAGTTACAACGTTTTGGGGCGGGGCTTTCTCTTCCAGTCGTCGAACCGTCGCCTGTCGAACGAAATCGCTCAGATGTCGAGCAGCAAGGAAAACCTGCGCTTCGCCGGTAGGAAGAACTCGCGCAAACTCAAACTGTCCGAATCGGTAGCCAGTTCGATCGGGTCGAACCTGAACAAAATAGGCGGGGCCCAGGATCTGACCAAGATGCTGCTCACCGACGATTACTTCAGCGACGTGAACCCACGCTCGATGCGTAGACTAATGAACGTCGTCTACGTTACCGGGCGTCTGCTCAAAGCGTTCCAGATCGACTTCAACTGGTACCGTTTGGCGTCGTGGATCAATATCACCGAACAATGGCCGTTCCGCACGTCGTGGATTATTTACCATTACGACTTGTACGAGGAACAGCTCGACGACAATACGCCGCTGAAATTGATCTACGAAAAGTGAGGTTATGGGACTCGTGGCGCCCCCTCCCGTACGAATTTCAGTCTCGTTTCAGGATCAAGCCCTTGATCCCGTCGCTGAAAGACTCCGAGCCGCTCCTCGAACTCGACAGGGACGAGAAAAAGTTCGAGATATTCCTCAGCTTTCACCGTTCGAGCCTCCTGATCAGCGACCTCAAGATTTTCCTGCCTTTCACCATCAATCTCGACCCGTACCTTAAGAAAGTGATCAAAGGTAACGTATCAAGCCTCCCAAATAACGTTTTTCGTTTTATATTTTTTTATAAACCCTGACAACTTATCAATTAGGCGCCTTTATTTTAATGATTGACATACAAAAAAGGCTACTCCATTGGTTGTGACGTCACGAGGTACGAGGAGATAAGCAACGCATTATATTGTTTTTTTTACTATGTAATATTTCTTTTGAAGTTTAGAGTACTGACTTCGCTTAAATTATCCACTGATGTTCGATTAGTTTTGTTTAGACAAACAAAAATGAGGTTAGGCTATTATTTATTTTTCTTTTAATGAATAGTTTTTTAAAGTACTTTAAATTTTAATATAAATAATACTAATTACTAGAGAAAATACTTAAAATATGTCTGATTTTTCAAAAAAATATATGCATTTTTCTACATGCATTACAACATTATATTTACAGTTTTTAAACATAAAAATAATAATACTTCATTAGGAGTATTTATTGACATTAGCTAATAATAAATTAGTGATTTATAACTATATACTTATACCTAACCTATATTAAAGCATTATGGTAAAAACTATTCAGTTTTACAATCAGTCCTATTATTATTGTACCAATTGACAATTAAATGCTTCTCTAAATTTTTATGTTTTCCAGTGGCGACGTGCTGGTCTATTTGTCATTTTTTTCTCACATGTAACCTTAAAGATAAATATTCATATTAATTTAACATAATGTACACTATTAATTATCCAGTAATAAATCAGCTTGATATAAAAAATTATAATTTAAGTTTTTATCGCAATGTTTAAAATATATTCAATTACATATTTCAAAAAAAGTGGTTTTATACATAAAATCCTAACTCTACTAATTACAAATCTTTTGGATTCCTTCTGCGTTTCGCCAATCATCCTGATGCCAGAGGTTAACTGAAACTAGCTCGAATTCTACTCTGTACCTACTTATATATTGTCTGAGGGGAGCCAAAGGAGGGGAACATTGTCTAGAATGACTGATTCTCATATTGGTGAAAGGTGAAGACCTGAGTCGCGGTTAACATTGTTTGGTTACTTATGGATATCTGTAGATTCTCTTATTGAATTAGATCTGATGTTGTGTTCGGCAACTGTTGATGAGTTTGTTTTAAAAACCATTACACTAGATGCCAATGATATTGTAGTTTGTTTCATAGAATTCCTCTTTATTAAAGTCCCTATTCCTGAAACTCTCAACATTTCAACAAGAAATAATTAAAATTTAAATAACATTTTATACTATTCATCTAACAGATCTTGAACTGCATTTTACACTTTGTACGAGACATTTTTCGATGATTTAGTCGAAATAATTTATATTATTCATTTTTGACCTCAGCAGCTTCTTCTGACAGTTCTGCAATTAGTATAATGGCTTTTTCTATTATCTTAGCACCATGTGAACTGAAAGGGAAGACTATACCATAAATATTCAGAAAGAATTCTGTAAATTAATTTTGTAATTATGTAATTTTTTTCTGAACTCAAATTGAATCTGCCTTTTTCTCTCAGACTGTATTTGCCATTTTTTCAAATTTTATCTGTACAAGAGATGACATATTCGTAAAACCGTATATATGTAATTGTAATAGCGACAAGCGAAACTCAAATGTTTCTGAACTTGTTTTTGAAAACACCAATCAATATTTTTCATTTCTTTCGAACGTGAACTACATCTAGCTGAAGACGGTTCACTTTAACTTAAACTTTTTAACAAGCCTTTATGGAGAGGACATCAAGCGCAAAAGCGGAAAGTTAGTTGGTCACCAACTGAAGCTGGTAAGATTACTTAAATCTTACATCTGTTAATAAGACTTCTCTGTCTTGAAAAAGTCAATCACCCCTCATTGCTAAAATTTCCCGCCTCTACGAACTCTCTAAGGGAGGATCAATTATCGAGCTTCTATATTAAAATCCTTTACAGGAAAACTGATAATTTCGTGCTTAATAAACAATTGAAAACCATTAGATTAGATACACAGGATGTTATGCTAAGTTTGGACTTGGAATCCCTCATTGCTAAAGTCCCTAGTCCAGAAACTTTCAATCGGAGGTCGGGAGGGAACAGCTATGGGTTCTCCATTATCACCAGTCATCGCAAAGACAAAATTTCGTTTGGGATACCAGGACTTTACGGCATTTCATGCATGTGCTACAAATAGTACATTAGGGAGACAGGACGAAAAGTATCTAGACTCAAAGGATATGGTGGTTCATCTCTTTATAGCTTGTAACTTTTATGTGTGCTTGTAGCTTACTATTTTTTCAGACTATTTCTGTTTGACGTTTTTTCCTAAACTTTAAATAAGAAGGTTAAAACATAAAAATAAATATAATTTGTTTGCAGTTCAGATTGATGTCTGGTTAAAATGTTTTATTGGGCCTCTTTCAAAATTTGTAACTCCAATAGTTTATATATATCACGTTCTTCGCCGTTATAGAGGAGACTCAAAACTTGGAGGAGGAGAACGCGTTCGTGTCGATGATGCGAAGCTCGGTCGCCTACGGCAACCCCCAAATGGCGGGCCAATGGGTGACCGACTGGAGCGGGCAGCCGCGACCATTGGCGGCAGCTTCCGCGAGGGAAAGACGTCAGGGCGTGGCTAGCGTCGCCAAAGTGTTACCGACGCCCGCGCAGAACGTCATGTACGCGCAGCCGCAGGAGATGTGGCCCCAGTTCGACCCGATGCCGAGGATGCCCGCCCATCCGGCGATAGGTTTGCCGACCGGTTTGGAGGTAAGTGGTCGGGGTCGCGGTCACGTCTCGCGACGCTGCGCGTTAGTATATAGTCGGCTGATTTTGGCCAAAATGTCTAAAAGTCAATTGTGGAAAGCGAACTTATGGCTTGTACCGCAATGACAACACCACAATGACTAAAGTTTAGATAAGAAGTGCATTGGCGGCCGCGCGGCAATATCACAAAGTAGGCTTTGGCTTTGAAAGTTAAGTTTTTCGACTGCGATGCTAAGTAATAGTGATAAGTAGAGTTTAATAATAAATAAGTCTGCTTTTTCAAACAAATGTACTACTACGTACTATGTACTACTATATACTTTTATGCCCTATATCAAAATCAAGGAAAAAACAACGAAAAAAATTACAACATTATATTTACAATTTGTAGACATAATAATAATAATAATACTTAATTAGGAATCTTTTATCCCCTAATATGTTTTTGTACTTGGAGATCGTCCTGAGACGGTTGATCGTCTCATCTAATGATAAAATTTTTGAAATTTTTAAGTAACTTTTGAAAGCCTTTATTTTTATTAAATTTATGAAGAATAATTTTCCTTATTCTACTTTTAACTTTTTTCAACACATGTTTGCACTCTTCTACTATTCAAATTGACTCTGACAAAGACATTTGTTCGATCTCTCATTTTTTTAATAAAGCCACTTAAAAATCTAAAATTAGCTTTGATATATGTCAACTGATCTATAAGTTAACATTTTTCATGTAAATTTTTAGTTTTTTTAATTTTAAGTTTTTTTAATGATTAAAGTGATTCGCGTGAAATTAGGCCGCGTCGAGTAATTGCGGGTTCAGGGGGTAAAACTCGAAGAAGTGCTTTCACAAATATTTTTTTTTACGTTCGAAATTAAAGAATTAACTTAATCCCTACGTAAAATGCTAGTAATAGGGTAAATCCCAGTAATAAACTAATGGATGACTCTAAAATATGCGATTTTATGCTCGAAAAATAGAAACTATTCGCTTTGTGTACAACTAAAAATATGTATTAAAGCTTCATTTTATGCGAAATGTGAAATTTTGTTATACCGTTAATCTAATTATTCCATTCTAAGACGGGTAATTCCAAATATTGGGTTCATATTCCTAATAATAAAAAATATGTTTTTTACATGTAATCCTAATAGTGATAAACCAGATTTTTTTTTGCAATGGAGATTACAAACTCGGGTAAGGTTATGAAAATTTTTAGAAAAGACTGCGAAATATTTGCTTGTTTTAATTTTTTGTTTTCATTTTTCATTAAAAAATCTGCGTTTATGAAGTTTTGTTAGGGCTATCATAAAACTATTAAAAGTGATTGGCAATACAGCGTGAACAAGTGTCAGTTGGGCGTTCAAAGTGACCTTTTTCTGAAAAAAGCGCCCGATCACAGAGAAGTGATGCACTACAGTTATCTCGGGACGTAAATCGCGTTACCCAGTTAATAAAGTAAAATGAGGCAGTGGTTGCTGCAAAAGTGAGTGGTGCGATTTGTCGTGTGTTTTGAAAGAGACCAAACGAAGTCAGACACCTGCGTCAAAAATCAAAAAAATATTATTTGCCACCAAAGAACAGATTCACGAAACAACAATACTTGGCTATCTGATTGGGTGCACAGGCCTGAAATTGCTACATATATCCAGCCTATCGTCATATTTTGGAGGTCAAAAAAGACTGCCGACCATCGAATATTACTGAGGCAACGACAAAGTCCCCCTCCAAGATGTTCTTAACCACACCACACAAAGAATTTTACTTATGCAAAAAGAGGTTTTTCTCAGCGTTTCTAGAAACCAGATATCAGCTACGTTAGTTGTGAGCTATGGTTTTGATGGAAGCTCAGGGCAGGCTCAATACAAACAAAAAATGTCTTTTGGAGATACACAAGATGCGAGTATTTTCGGTACCACCATGATTCCCTTGAGGCTAACTAGCTCGGATAGCATTATCCTCTGGAACAGTGGAATGAATGTCTGAGGTTTTCCTAGGGATCATGTCATGAGAAGGAAAGAAAGTCTAGATAATGAAATTAAAGATGTTCAAGACTACCGAACCTCGATCAAGAATTTTTATGTTAGAGTACATATTGATTTACATTTGACTTTGATTGATGGAAAAATCTGGTCAATCTCACCAACACTCGTTCAAGTCGAGCATGCCCAATTTGTGATGCAACACCTGCAAAATTTTTACCTACTAAGAATTTTGAAGACTATGACTCTGCAACAAAAGAAAATGCATTTCAATATGGTGTAAGCCGCCCGCATTGGTGGATAAGGTTTCACATTTCTTACAGAATTGAATTAAAAATCTGGAAAGTGACGCTCAAGAATTTGCAGAGATAAAAGGTGAAGTTTGAGGCATACTGTTTCGAGACTGGTCACATTTTCATGGAAACATATCCATGGTTTCCAATGCCTGCCACAATTTACAAAGTCATTGTTCATAGTAAACAAATAATCGAAAATCATTGGCGATAGGTTTCTTTGGTGGATATATTTAATCGAGCGATAGATACCTCAGACCCCTTCACATCTTCGTTGTCCCTTAAAACAATAAAATCAAAATTGTAAGTAAAACTGCTGCCGCCTGAAGTTCAAGATTTATTGAATCCCTATGAATACAGTCTTGATGAGGATAAGTTAGAGTCGTCGAAAATGGACGATTTTTTGGATCAGTAGAAATGGTTAATTTATGATTTATGATTTTTGAAACGCAAGCAAAGGCAATAAATAAAGCTAGTGTAAAAAGCCGCAATTTTATAAAAGTGTTACACAATATTTTCTTCTCAAATTTAGTCGTAGCATGCATGTCCTACTAGATTCACAGATAGCTATTATATTAGTTTGTTTTATTCAAGTTCTGTTTCTTAACAGAGGTTTATTCAGAGGAGCATGTGTACCATTCTGGGATCAATATGTTGATGCGTCTATAAAAAGTATCCTTGGAGTAACAGTAACAAGCAAAACACGTTTCTGATGTTGATTCACAATAAGAAAATGTTAATAAATGATTTTGGCCAATATAAGTGTGCTATAGACTACTGTGCGCTGAGGGGGCGTGGTTTTTGCAGCCGGATATCGCGGACTGCGCACTGTCGAACCTAAACGTGGAGGGGGTGTGCAAGCTGCTGTCCAAGATTCGGGACTTGAGCCAGAACGCTCTGCCCGAATACGTCAAACTCATCAGGGACAACAATATCAACGGGAAAGTACTGTTGCACTGCGACTTGGACGATTTAAAAGCGGTACGTTTTTTTTTTACAAAGAAACTTCCACAAAACTTCCGGATTCCTCCTCCTGCGTCGGTTCATCAATTCCTCAACCCCTCAAGCAGGTTATGTAATGTCACTTGGATAAGACCGTGTATATATAATATATATATAAACCGATATGTCTCTCGTAGCTGCTCAACATGTCGTTTGGAGACTGGGAAATGTTCAAAGCGGCCGTGATATCTCTAAGGGAATACGAGATAAGGGGCCTGGCGAGGTCCCAGGAAGCGCCTGCTGCTGCGGCAAAGTCGTCAAAGTTCGAGAGGAAGGGTAAGTAAAAATATGAAGTATATTTTCTCTTTTCTTTTTTCTTTTATCGATATTTTCGTTATTTTATTTTAACTTTCTGTTTTGCTTTAAATAAAAAAAGATGTTTTTCTTTTTAAACTTTTAATTTTTGACGCGTTATCTGATAGATTTTTGCAATGTGGCCGGAAGAGGGCGCTTTGAAATATAGGTTATATATGAGGGCGTACAAGTGTGGTGTCAAATTTTAAAGGTTTGGATGTCAGGATTTAAAATTAAACCGTTTGTTATCATTTGTAGGTAGTATGAAAGGAACTAGCGGCTCGAGCGACAAGGTGGAAGGTAAAATGCAAGTGGAAGCGCCGCGGGAACGAAAGCAGAGTATAATTGAAAAACAGGTTAGTCTTTTGCTAAAGTCGCTTCGTGTAACCGACCGCTAGGGGACGTTTGAACTACTGTCGTTTAAATCGCGAACTTTGTCGCTAAATGACGACGATTTGAAACCTAAATTTTTATGAAATAATTTCAAAGTCTGAGAAATGAGGTTATGATGACAGTTGACTTTTGCACAGCAGTAGTTCTCAATTGGTTCTCCAGTTAGTTTCAACTAATAAATAATCCAAACTTAAATAGAGACCATTAAAATTAAAAATCTGTATTATTGATAGAAAACGTTGATTTGTATTTATTTATTTTTTTACATGCATCCATATAGTATCAGGTATGTTACCTTTCCTTAATAAATGGTGATGATGATTAAAAAAGTTTTTTTTTGTTTATTTATTATTTTTTGGTGACACTAAATATTATACACTTTTATTTCTTGTTTCAAGTTTAAAATTAATTAATCTAGTTATGGTGAACACAATGGCAACCAATCAATGAATTTATAAGCTATTTTGCCCCCGTATATTTCTAAAATAATATTCAGGGTGTTCAATAGAAAATCCATTAAAAGACTTATTGTAAGTAAGGAGCACAAAAGATGCAACCGACAAACCTCAATAATATACACTTAAGTGCATAAAATTTTCAGAATATATGCATGGAAATGAACAAAAAATGCAAATATGCTTTTATATTATATGAAAAATTATGAACATTAATGTTTTTTTTTTCATGGATACACATACGGTACTTAGCAAATTAATAATTCAACAGTACTGTTGATATATTTAATAATAATAACAATTTATATATAAAAAACTATTCTGTGGATCGAATATGTCTTTATTTTTTCACTATATACTGCGAAAAAAATGTGAAAATTGTTTCCATCAGGCAATATTTTTGAATTAATTTATAGTAACATTGCAATAACATTTTGAAAATTGTTTGTAAGATATATGAAGAAAGTTTAAAACAAGAATAATGGAACCAAACGATTCTTACCTTTTGGAACATCTATGATATGTAGAGAGCCAACCAATCACCATGGTGGCTGCTATTTCTACGTGTGCAATGTTCGTGGATATAATACTGAAAATATGAAAAACATTGTTTATCCGACCCTCGAGTGTGCAACTGCCAGTTTTTCTGAACCTGAAATAGATTAAGATACCCTTCGTGATGTTGGTGATATAGCAACCATTGTTATTTTCACAAGCAGAACTTAAATGACTTAGTCAGAGATTTAAGTTTTCCCGAAGATCTTTCGTAAATTTTGGCATCTAGACTTTGAAATAAAAATTTACTGGCACGAAACATGGTACATGTACATGTACATGCTAAAATTCTGAGGGCTGGAGGCTCATTAAAGAAAAATCTTAAAGCTGTTCTTTTGCACATGTTCTTTCTGCTGCTCATTCTGTGCAAATGAAAGAACGCTATGTAAATCTGGAACCACTGCTTGAGAAAATCAAATTCAAGGACCATGGTTCGAGAATTGTAGAGATTTAACAATTGTATGACTTCTACTACCGTTTTGTTCAAAATTCCTGTTTCTCCGCCCCTTATTTATTAGGTTTCACAGAAACGGAAGAACCCTAATATATGACCCCTTCCAAAAAAAAAAAAAAAAGAATTTTCTTCAAAGAAACAAGTATTTCTGTCACAAATACGAATTAATTTAATTGCATTAAAAATTTCCGTATTCGTTTCCTGTCCCTCCATTTAGGTAACCCTGGAGGAGCAGATGATATGCGGCGCCCTGCAGACCCTGAACGAGGAAGCTTGCGAGGACGTGATGCAGGAAACCGAAGAGACCAAGATCACGATCGATCCCGATCTGCCTCAGACGTCGATAATTCCGCCGAGTCCCGAGTGTCCCCAAGGTGAATCTCTCTTGACCACCGCATACCGTAGACGTAGCATCGTCTACGTCGAGAAAAATTTAAAAAAAATCAATTACAACGATAACGCCGGCCCGCTTGAGGGCGACGGTAGCGACCTCGAGTCGAGAACTTCGAGATCGAACTCGAACGTTTACCTCAGCGACGAGGATTAAATGGTTTAGCTCGTTCTCTCTCTTTCTCTACCAGTGAGAAAAGGAGAAATTGCATTCCTAAGCGCTAAAACAGTATTAGATTGTAGGTGTAGTTGCGCGACGATGCAGTTTGTTAGCGTCTATCTCGTCATTCTTCTGACGATATGCACAATTTGGCAACACCGATCGATTAACCTTCCCACTTCGTTTGCATGCGTAGTTGTGCCTATAGAGTCGACGTTGAGGTGTTTTGATAAATTTGTGATTTTTTTTTTTTCGCAGAAAATAAAAAGTTTAATGTTAAATTTTCATTGATTTTTTCCCATTCTATTTGGGAATGAAATGCCCATCAAGAATTTTGTTAATCAATATTTTCTCTCGAACATTCCTTTTACGTTTGCATCTTGACTCGTAACTTGACCTACTCAAGCTAAATTTTTATTTTATAATTTTGTTAAATTTTTACTTGTGAATATATCCTCTTTTTGTACCTATTCATGTAACATTCTTATTTTACAATTTTATTGCATTTAATTGCACATTTTTTTATTTTCGACCTGCTTGAATAATTTTTTTTTTCAAAATTTTATTGCGTTGCATTTATTTTTTCTCCGGAATATATCATCTTTTCTGACCTACTTAACAACATTTTTATTTTACACATATTTACTTTTGAATATATCGACATTTTTGCTCTACTGAAGTGTGCGTTGCATATAATTTTACTTTTGAATATATCAACTTTTTTGACTTATTTAAATAAATTTTATATTTCACAACTTTGTTACATTGCATTGCACATATTGTTACTTTTGAATATATCGACTTTTCTGGCCTACTAAATTTTAGTGCATAGCATGTATTTTTACTTTTGAATATATCAAATTTTTGACCTACTTAAATAAATAATTTTTTAACTTACTTATGTACAATTCTTATTTCACAATTTTTTGTTTAATCTTTTTCACTTATTTTTTCTTTTTTTTTTTTATTGTGACAAAATAATAAATAAAACAATTTTTTAGTAATTTTCCAGCGAAATATGACGGGTTCAAATTACTTCAACATGGCAGCGTCAGAATCATGTTGTCCCAATATCATATCATCATATTAGGTTGTATCATACACCGTTTTTTGAAATTTTAGATTTTTTATTTTCAATCAACCAATAAAATGTCAGCGAATTAAATTTATCAAAACATCGTCTAGATGTAATACCTCAGGGATTTTGTTTGACTAACCGCATTTTGTGTTAGAAAATAGTTACTTTCTTTCTGCGACCAGCGGTGGAAGTTCGGGCGGTACATTCGAACTACTCTCGCCGCACGACCTCCCAAGCTGGCTCCCAAATCCTCAGCATGTTTATTTCGTCACTTACCCGCATACAGATATTGAATTCACCTATAATTGTGTACGATTTACTATTGAAAATAGAGGAACGCATGTGGCGATAGTATTTTTCCCAGAATAATAAGATACGGTCCTCTATTTTCCCATGTCGATAACCAGTGGACGAATTATTGACTTTATTTATTTGTTTTTACCGTTAGTTTTGTGTACTTTATTATGTAAGGCGAATAAAGTTGATTTTTTTCTGATGCGCACTTATTTTATTATGTTTCGTTTTGTGGGCGTGTCCTGTGCCGTGACGTCTTTACGTATATGTGAATTCAGTAGCTGTCTTTGTTTATTTTGCACGTGTATCTGTTTTATCGCCGTTAGTGACTAATTCGTAGTGCATGTTTTCAACAAACCACTCCACCTTCGCGTTTGACTTGACTTTCGAACTGAAAAGAATCAGAAATAATAAAAAACATATCGCGATGACATTTAAACGATCTTGAAAACGAAACTTGCATTTCAAGCGCAAACGACCGCGATTATAGTAAGTAGTAGAAGTAACGTAGACCTTAACTCCTTGTTTCCTTTTGCAGGTCCCATAGTACCGTTAGGGTTAATAAAATGAATTGCGATAACAAATGAAGGTATTGACGGCGTGCGCTTGCGCTAATTCCCGTTCGCGTCGCTTTCGTCGCGTAGAGTTTTACGTCTCCGCCGTTTCGCTTTTTCTTGCGTCGTAAACGCGCGGTAAATCGACGAGACATTTGAACTACCCACGCTTTCGCTCGTAGTTTACATCTGTGCTGGTTCTGTCGCTCACTTCGAATGCGCTGTTAGTTGTTGCTGCTGTCACGTCTGGGCACAGACTACTAAATTGTTTTGTTCTCTGGTCTATGTTCGATGTAACCTATAAACAGAATCGACTCGACCAGTCAGTCGGTCACTTAGTCAGTTGGAGGAGGCGTTAGACACAAGATAAGGTTGCTTAGTTGAAAATGCCCCATTGTAAGGTAAAGTTTAACGAATTGCAATTTTTGATTTTTGATCATATCATCTGCGTACTTTCTGGGGAAAGGTTATGAAAGAGAGATTATTTGTAAGCATGTAAAGTATGCCACATAAAACACGCTGTTCTCCAGATATATGAATTGTAATCACTCGCCTCCTCAAAAATAAAAAAGTTACAAACTTTTATTCAGAATTTATCCGTTAGTAAAATATTAATGAGAGGTGATAAAGTTAATATCTGTTATACAACTAAGCGCAACACCCTTTTTTTTTTTAAACAGTAGAACCTAGACACTTGATAGTTGTTGAAAGTGTCCTCTACCTTGAATAATTCTCTTCACGCTGAAAAAAAATTATTATTTTTTTTTGAAATGATTGGAAAATATTTTTTATTTTAAGAGAAACCAGTGCCGTACCATCAATGTCTGCGAAAAATAGACTGGTGAAATTCATATACGCCCGCCACTGGTGTATTTAAAAAAAATATGTTGCCTCTTGATATGTAGACGTGTGCCAAATTTCATTCAAAAATATCTAAAGTGGTATTACAGATATTTAAAAAATATATTTTAATTTTGGAAAATTTACCAGTCTGTATCTCAAGAGTTAAGACGTTTAGGGAGTATCTTCATATGAAGCTTTCTTTTTAAAGTTGCCTAAAAATATGTGAGATATTTTCATTTTACTATTTTATTTTAAGCTAAGTCACTGGCTCATTAATTATGGGTAGGTTATTGTTTAGACATGAACACATTCGTATTAACATTGCCGTTCATATTTATTAATCAACAAAAGAGATGTTAACGCCATATTAAGCTGGCATAAAAAATAATTAAGCATTGTAAATAAGCGTTACGCAAATGTCGCTCATTAAGATACAGGGTGACTGATTTTTTAATTTTTAAATTTAAAATTATAAAATGGAAATATCTCTAAAGCTGTGTATTTTATCGAAATAGCACGAAATATCGAGATTATAAGGTGCAACTAACGACCTCTACATATTACGCGACAAAATAGGATATACTTGTATTCGCGGCATCGAAAAACTCCCGTGATTCGGTATACGTAAGCCTTTGGTCGAATGTGTCTAGAATGGTGGCCAGCAATCCCCTTGTCTTCTATTGTGACACCACTAAAGGGCAAATCAATTTAAAATTTCTAACCATGAAAATGAACGTTTATGACAGGTCAGGCAAGTCATGATGGTGTTCGTAAGTTGAGTTCGTAAACATGGAAGAAAGATTCAACGTGGTAAAATGATGGCAGTAAGTCATGTAACCAAGATTCGAAATCGTAATATTTCATTTTTCTTAATTTTATTTTAACTCAGCGTTTCAGAAATCTGTCACTAGAGGACATTTACACAGAGCATTATTTTCCTGTATTTTATATATTTACACTAGATATTGCAAAATAGAACACATTAACTTAAGCATAATCACAAATCCTCAAAAATTGTTACTCTTGTTTTTAAGTCGATAAGTGTTATCGACTTTTTTATTTAAATGTAATGTATTACATGTAAATGTAAGAAAGATGAGACTTGATATCGCGATATACATTCTGTTGCGTTGAATTTTTCAAAAAAGTATGATGCAGATTAAAAAAGTGAAAAAAGGGCATAACTGAATGCAATAACTTGCGTTATTTAAGTAACACAAATACATTTAACATTTTCGAAAAAAAATGATTAATAATAATCGGGAATTAAACAGTATACAACGCTAATTGCAATTCATTTTCAAAATGTTTCGAAAATTTACAATGCCATCACGACTGAGTGCAGTCTCGTCAGTGGACAAAATGACATTTAAGAATTGTATAAAATTACTCTCAACTCTCAACCCTTTGAACGTGAAAGGGCCGAAGATCATTTTCATGCAAAACTGTAGAGTAAGCAATTCTTTCCTGAGCAGCAAGTTTTCCCGTACTTGTTGACGGGTCAGCATTCTTTCTCTTCTTGCAGCGGTTCTTTTATACCTTGATCTCCCTTTATTCATATTATCAGGTTTGAATCATCCTCTCTCACCAAATCTTCTGCGTATGTTGATCAATGTCTTAGCAGATGGAACGTTTCTATTGGGATAAGCCTCGATATAAAACCGCCGTGCTTGATCTGCCTTTCCATTTGCTCTTCCGTAGCAAAAATGCATATCGCGATATTCAATATTTGAATATTCCTGATGATCCATCATAGTAGCAGTTTAATAGAAATTAATTTTTAACGCATTGTGACAATGAATTTTTCAAATTTCATTACGTGCTGCTAGGTAAAATCACATTTACATGTAATACATTACATTTAAATAAAAAAGTCGATAACACTTATCGACTTTAAACAAGAGTAACAATTTTTGTGGGTTTGTGATTCTGCTTGAAGCAATCTGTTATATTTTGCAATTTCAGTCTAAATAAATAAGATACAGGGAAAATAAAAAAAGTGTTTTAGGATTTTGTATACTAGCTTATTCCGTTCCGAGAATTGAGCTCACTGCGTTAAAAGTAAAATTAAAAAAAAATAATTTTGACAAGCCCTAACCTTTCCTCCAAGCTTCCGAAATTTCCAAACACCCTGTACAATAAATGGTAGAAATAAGAATATTATTGGAATGTGTGAGAGTAAGTGTTTTCTATTATAATAATAATAATGATGATGATGATGATGATGTCTTTATTATCCCACATATTTAGAATACAATCAGTGTATTATGGATTTCGGCAAGTAGGTCAATATAGATCATGAAAATGAAACAGAAAACTACATTAAAAATTTATATAATAGAAATATGACTGAGCACACATTAATAGGTAAAATATTCGTTTAAATTGTAAAAACAGTCTTCTAGTCTTCTTTAGCTCTGGGGACAGTCTATTGTAGATTCTAATACCGGTGTTCGTAAAATATTTTTTTGAAAATTCTAGTCTATATTTTTTTATGGAGACACAATCTTTGTTACGTGTATTATAGTCGTGGAAATCTCGTTTTTTTTGTAAGGTATTTTTATTTTTATATACCCATAAACAGACTTCTAATATGTATATACACGCTAAAGGCAGTGCTATGGGTGTCGAACTGCATTTTTTACCCCTTATCAGACAATATTAAACTCGACAAACTTCTTTCACGATTTACGTCGAAATATGAGGCCAAAATCTCCACAATCACAGAACTTTTTTGCGTAGTTTTCAAACGACACGCCAAGACCTTTATGTCGCTTTCCGGGCATATTTCTAACCTGGAAGGTACAGGGTTATTCATTATATTTTGACACCCACCTGCAGGGTTATTTTTTTGAGAAGTGTAGGTACAAAAATTTGAAGATTTTCGCTCTATTATCTTTTAATTAATTTTTTAATTAAGCCCATTGCGTTAAAAAAATGAATGTTGACCAGTTTTAACTGGGAAAATGTTTCGAATTTTTGTTACGTGACTTACAACCTTTATTTTACCATGTTGAATATTTCCTCCAATGTTCCGAACTCAATTTCCGATATACTTTGATGTTTACTTTATTGGCGCCATCTCGTGGTCGGTCCATTCTGTTTATAAGTCGTCACGCGACGCAAAGAACCGAATATATCTCTTCTCCGAGGTTTCCCGTACAAATTCGGAGAAATGAAAACGCGTCGATGCCCGCTTGTGTGTGCGTCCGCTTTGCTGAAGCCTTCGTTTGTAGATTACCAGACGCCACGCAGGAGACGCTCGCGGACGAACAGCTCCAGCGGCGTAGGCGAGGCGGATTTCGTTTTGTTGCAATCCTCGCCCGTCGGTCACATGCACTGGCAGCCCGTCAGCCTCTCGGTGGCCGAAAGTTTGAGCGACCAAAGCTCCAGGGGCAGTTCGCAGCCGCCCTCGCCAGGTAGACACCGTCGTTAATGCCCGCGCATCCTCTCCTTCGCTGTTTGGATAAGCTTTTAGCCGCCGAGCTGGCATCGCTTGTAGAAATTTCGAGATAAAACATGTAAATAGATGGTCACGCGCAATAGAAACAAATTGATCCTAATCTAGATGCGGAGACACTAGGAAGGGCTTTTCTATGGGCTGATATTAATTCTGGTACAGGATGAGTCAACGATAGCGCTACCTCTTTGGTTGCAAAATTTAGGAGAAAATTATCGTTAGTATGTACAATTTAAAATTATTTTGAAGTATACAGTGTGGCCCAAAAAAATAATATAAGGTAGATTTTTAAAATTTTGTTTTGAATTGGTTAGGATACATGCATACTTCCGGGTATTACGTATATATTTTACTTTTCCGGCCAAAATACCATATAAAACTTCTACTACGGATATAAAGTACAATATTTTCACGATTGTTCTGGTTATAAAGTACGAGCGTGCAAAAATTGGGGATTTTTCATCACTTGCGAGGTTTTCTCTGTAATGTGCGTGTCCCACCGACAGTTTGCGCTGTATTGTTTTATGGAAAGGTTTGAGTCTATGGTTAAAATGGCGGATCGGCGCAAGTATTCAACTGTAAAAGGAAAGATAGAGATTATCAGAAGTATCGAGAATGGCATCGTTAAAGCGGAAATCTCGAAAAGATCAAAAAAGCAAGTGACTGTAAGTCGCACGGGATTAAAAAAAATCATAAACGTCGGAAAATGTTCTGGTGAAGCAGGAGACGTTAACAAACAGCTGTGGTGAACTGGTTAGAGAATAAGTGGCCCAGTATTGCACAAAATTATGGCTCTGAGGATATTTTCAATGGCGAGGAGACTGAGCTATTTTACAAGATGACTCCAGATCGTACCTTAATTTAGGGGAGAAAAGTGTTTGGGTGGGAAGCAGTCGCGGTTGAGGTAAAGTCTGTTCATAGATATAAGAAAGTGATACGAATTAAGGAAAGACCCGGGCAAGCTGTAATAATGAAATATGGCCGAACAGGTCCGTACTTTGCTTAGAATTTGATTATTTGGGGTTTTGTTGGGAAAGACACTAAACAATATTTATTTATTTATGTTTAAATCTAAAATAAAATTACAAATTATTTTTATTACCTACTTAAATTACTTAAAATTCACATAATATATCAGTATCACTATCGCTGTCATCCCCTGTTCTAATTATTATTTGTTCTATATTATTTGCAATATGGATATACGATTGTACTGCTTTTTCTATATGTTTAACAGAATTTGCCCAACTTTGTGGAGGGATGTTAAAAACTTCGGTTTCTATAAGTTTGAGGACATTGGAGTTAACACGGGGAAAACATTGTTACGACGAATGGCAGATTTTAATTTGGTGCCAAACATGTTCAATGGGATTAAATATACAGTGGTAAGGTGGAAGCCTTAAAACTGTATGCCCAAGATTTTCTGCATAATTATCACAGACGTATTCCTTTTGTAGGTTCAAGCTTTGTAGAACCTCACTTAATTGCTTTTTGGTATAATATTCGTAAAAATAAATGACGTTATTATACATGTAGTTTTGGATTCTTGCTTTTGTGTCACTTGAGGAAGGGGTTTTAGTCAACTGTCTACTGTGATAACTTGCATTGTCCATTATAATGACGCTATTAGGAGGAATGTTTGGAACTAGTTTGTTTTTAAACCAACTTTCCAATAAATCAGCGGTAGTGTCTTCATGGTAATCCAGAGAAGAATCTTTAATATTTTTCGCAGACAGAGAAAGTCCATTTGGAATCCAACCATCTTTAATGCCAGCATGCAAAATAGTTATTCTTTTACCTCTTTTTGATGACGCGTTTGTTTTACACTTATCACCCTTTTCAGAACCAGGTTTCATCCAAGCAAATAATTGGTCTTTGTTGTTCTCTGTAAATCCTATTTTTTTCTAGATATTCCGGTCGCCATTTTCGAATTCAAAAAGATTCCATTAAAACTTGCCTTCTGTCGATTTTTTGAAATCTAAAACCCATGTGTTGAATGCACTTCTATAAGGTAGTTCTGCCACATTTACTCCTGAGATACACTAGTCTCGCACATATTTTGCATAATTCGCAGTGACGGGAGATGAAACTATGGTTCTCTGGTATGACCCTCTATCGAAAAAAGAATCAATGGAGTGGCATCGTAAGGGTGAAGCACCTCCAAGAAAATTCAGTCTGCCAGTCAACAAAAAAGGTGATGGCCACGATCTTTTGGGATTGTGAAGGAATTCTTTTAATAGATTTGAAAGAAACTAATACCACTGTCAATGGTAAAGATTAAGCAACATTATTACATAAATTGCGAGACCGCAAAAGCGTAAAACGTCGAGAGAAACTGACCAGAGGCTTGCGTCTTTTGCACGATAATGCACCTGTCCATACTGCTGGTGTTGCACAAGCTGCCATTTTGGAGAGTGGGTTCTAACAGATAGGTCATCCTCCCTATAGTCCAGATATGGCCCCCAGCGATTATTATTTGTTTAGATATTTGAAAAAGGACTTACGTAGACGGCGGTTTAACGACGAAGTTGAGTTAAAAGAGGCTGTTTTAGCTCATCTAGCAGACAAATCAAGAAAATATTTTTTTAAAGGGATTGAGTGGTTAATAAAGAGATGTAATAAGTGTATTGAAGTTAAGGGGAATATATTGAAAAATAATAAAAAACTGTTACTCTACTTTGTTTCTTTTATATTCAGGCCGGGAAATTTTGGCGCTGCCCTCGTATATGTTGTAGTGTTTATATAGATAGATAAGGTTTTAGTTAAGGTAGTTTAGTTTCTTTCTTTTTTTAGTACCCATATGTGTTTATCAGTTTTCTATTTTCATATTAAACAAAAATATGTACGTGCCTGCATTTTTTTTTGTTTTTTTATAGCGTACTTCCGCTTATAGAGTACTCATTTTCTGGCCCTTAGAGGGCACTTTATAACCGAAGTTCACTGTAATTTTTTGTTTTTAATTTTTAATGTTTTTTTATTTAAAATATATTTTAATACTTTTTACAAAACTTCGGGATTCCTCCTGCTGAGCCAATCTGACGTAAGATTTTCGCTTTAAAAAATAGAAACCTCTTTCTGCATGGTCATAAAAATTTGGTTAATGTGACAGCATTATCATTATTATTTCTTAAGTAACTGCCTATCTGTTCTATTAAAATACTTCAAAAAATCGAAGTACGAATACGAAGTACCTAAACTCTGAGGTGTATTTTTGAAATATTTATAATTATTTCTTTTCATTTTAGTGGGCTCTGTTTGTAAGAATTATTAATTCTAGTTAAATTAATTAATTCTACTTATATATTGCGTAAGGGGGCGGAACATAGTCGCGGATGATCGATTGGTAGAAGATTCGATTACATGCGAGAAACGTATTCTGGTCGAATAAAATTTATTTGTCGTACCTTAAGGCTCTTACATGTTTTTTGAGCTCAATTCATATTTTTCGTCCTGTTCAATAACACCAAACCCGCACCAAACGGTTACTTTCTGTGTATTCTTGTATATTCATCAAATAGCCTCGTTGTCATAAACTATAGGTCTTCTTTATTCTGGGCCACTACAACTTTAGTTAGTTATTTGTTAATTCTATTCCCATTCCAAAATGAGCCGTATGTCCTAGTTTAAAGTATGCAATCCTAAAAACTAAATAAAAATTCTATTCTCTAAAGCTTTTTGCAATGTTCACATATACTTATGTACATATTATATATGGCAACTTGGTTCAGTAGCGTGTTACTACCACCAAACAAGATAAAACCTGTCAAATATATAAGAAAAAAACATATCAATCAAAAACTCCCATTGCTTCAACGGCACAAAAAAAATGTAAACCCATAAACCGAACTGCAAAGATCGGGAACAAAAAACCATCATGAAAAAAATATCTTCCTCCAAGTATGATTCATGCAATAGTTGATGAAACCTGAAACAAAGTGTTTCAGATATTATAAGATTGATAGAACCTATTCCAGCATAATATGATTTACGTTTACGTTTAAGATTGGACAGCAGCTGTTGACTTAACGAACTTTTAAAGTAAAAAAAAAATACGTAAGTTAGTTTTTTTCCCCAAGTACAGAACTAAACTTTTATCTCTGTTCTACAATAAGTCAAGGCCCGTATCTACGAAAAGGACGGTAAACATATTTAAAATGCTTAAAAATTAATAAACTTACCGTGTTTTTGAACATTCATGGCAAAAAGTTAGCCATCAAAGTCGCTTTTATATGATTAGCTATATTTTTTTGATGTGTACATGGTTTTAAAGTCGTCAATATAACCAAAACTGTTAATACATTTGGTCCAATTGTGGAACTACGGTGTAGCGATGAGTAATAACCAATCGGACACCTTAATTTGTAGTCTGTCGCATCGCACTTCTGACGGCTCGCAATGGCCTAACCCCGCCTCTTTCGTTCTAGCGCTGGAACGAAAAACCTCCTTCGGTAACAGGAGCAGCCTCAAATGCGGGGAGAACCCTAACCGCGGGCGTCACGTGGTCATCAAAACCGACTACCCCGATCACCACCGGGTGAGCATCTCGACCAACGACTCGACCGTGGTGTACGAGACCCCCGCCACCAGATGTCTCGAGTACAAACACTCGTCTTCCCAAACCAAACCAAGGCCTTCGTCGCTGAACCTGATCAAACCGGAAGCGAAACCTCAAAGACCCTCGCTGCGCATCCGATCCAAGTCGATCGACAACACTCAAACCACTGCCAAGAAAGACAAAACCAGGGAACGGTCCGCGGGCATGGACAAACTGCACCATCTCAAAGAGAAACTGCTCAGATCGAGTCCGGACCTGAACGAGACCAGCGACAACGAGAGTACCCCTCTTGTGTCGGAGGTTTCGTCACCGTCCAATCGTTCCGGAGGCAGTTCGGAGATGAAAACGTCCGAATCTATCAGCGACCCGATATCTCCAGTGTCTCAGAAGAGCGCCTCTCCCGACGACGTCTCACTAAAGCTCAGCAGGAGCGATCAGAACCTCGAGGCGACTCATCGGCGGTCCAGGACCGTCTCAGGAGACTCCGTCAGCTCCATAACGGCCTTCTTGGAAAAGATAGACTCCAGGGAACTTTCCAGCGGCAGTTTGCACAGCGCGGGCTCCGGCCATTTGCTGCGACAGTGCGCCCTCGACTCTGACGAGCATTTGACGGACATTTATTGTGATACGGGCAGAGAAAATTGAACGCGACGTCGTTCTTTATCAAGTGCCTCCGGGGGAGACGAGTCGACGCGTCGGCTGGGGTGGAATAGGGCGGGCTCGACCCGTTTCTCGCTCAGTTTTGTTATCAACTTTGAGTATACAAAAAGGAAATGTCGGCAATAAAAACACAACAGAAAACAGCAACTAAAGTAAAAAAAACTCTTTAAACGAAAATTGAATTGAAATAACAGGCTGCTACTCTCATCTGAAATTACGGAAAAGCAAACCAAATTACGCAGAAGGATATCAACTAATCTGTGAATTGAAGACCATGATGCAAAAAGGTGCCAACTCACTTTTTTTAGTTTTCAAATAAATTGAGCTAAAGTTTATCTCCCGGAACTTTTCATGTGACTTAATTTTAAATATTTGTAGATGTTATGATGCATAAAGGTACATTAAAAAATCTTGTAGCAGGTCAACTTCGGAAGAAATATATTTGCAATGCCAAAAAAATTAGAAAAAACAAGGGAAAAAATGAATTAACACCTTTTTCAGAGTTATTGTTTATAATGAGCCATGATCATAAGTAAATGAAAAGAGTGTTATATGTACAAAAACTATTTATTTAGCAACATTTTTGGATTCAATGACTCTTTTTCTCCTCGTTTCAAATTATAATAGAAGCATCTGAGGTTTTCTGGGATGAAAGGAATCTGTTCCTGGATATTGTCATATTTTACTAACAAAGTGTTAATTTCGGGTTCGGACCTAGTCATCTTTCTGTTTTTCCGTTTATCAACGCTTTTCCAATCCTCAGCCGCAACGAACGAATATTTATATTTGGTTCGACTTGAAGCCACCGAACTTCCCTAAATAAAACTTTTTCATTCGTCATTTTTTTTTTTATTCTAATTTCATTGCCAAACTTTTCATTGCATTTTAAACTACACTTTTACCTGCAGAGACGACTTTCAGTACAGGGAAATTTTTCTGGGACCTGGTATACCTTTAAACACTATTTTTTTTCAGGAAATGATTTTCTTTTTCTTGACTTATCCTTATTTTCAAGGGCGGCTTCTTCCCCTATCTCTTGTACGTAAAAATACAAAAAAATAATTTTCTTTGGTAAATTCACACGTTAGAATCAGTACTTGACCCATTACTGGCAAATTATCGTTAGTAACGGCAACGTCTGCAATCTTAGTGTCCTGATTTTCAGATTCCAATTCCAATATTGGCGAGATGATTTTCTGAAGTCTGCACCTTTTAATGGGAAGCTCAGCATCTCAGTCACCTGAAAGACGTCAAAAAACTTTTATTAATTTGAACTAAAATCTGAAACTATTGCAAATGTAAAAAAAAATACTACTTGTCGAGTTATCACTATTTGCCTCCTTGGTAATTCTTGAAGAAAAAATGGTCTGGATACCGCGGGATCTTGGAACTGGTTCACTGGTTGGCATTTGCTGAAGTTTAGTTTTTTTGGGGGACGTCGGTTGTATTTCCCTATTATCGGTATTACTGTCGCCTAAAAATAGGTATATTATAAAAAACATTAACCCTTGACAAAAATAATAATGTACGAACCTTCTTCTGACGGAAAATGTTCAGAGCCTGGATCTTAAAACATTCAACTAAATAGGCACAATATGCTTCTAAATTTCGATGCACCTCGTAACACTTTTAAGATTACCCGTCTACGAGAATTGGGAGAATCTATGACTCGAAAGATTTACTAACAAACGGAAAACTGAGTTAACACCTTTTTTCATTATGGTCTTCAATTGCGCTCGTGTTTCATTGAAACAAACTTTGTTTTTTAAATTTACATAAACACATAGAGTAAGATCACGTCAAGTGGACCCCATTTACCACTTGATCATAAAAAATCTATATATATATATATATATATATATATATATATATATATATATATATATATATATATATATATATATATATATTCTCACGTATTGATTCACGGATGGAAAAATGTGATGACACTATATTCCGGGATATCATCCGTTCGCTCGTTGAACTCCGACTGGAATCCTGCATCCGACTGGAATCCTGCAAATCTTGCATCCGACTGGAATCCTGCAGACGTTTCGCCAAAATCTCACTTGGCATCTTCAATGCTCGCGCTCCGAAAACACTTCGAACACTGAACAGTGTTCGAAGTGTTTTCGGAGCGCGAGCATTGAAGATGCCAAGTGAGATTTTGGCGAAACGTCTGCAGGATTCCAGTCGGATGCAAGATTTGCAGGATTCCAGTCGGATGCAGGATTCCAGTCGGAGTTCAACGAGCGAACGGATGATATCCCGGAATATAGTGTCATCATATATATATATATATATATATATATATATATATATATATATATATATATATATATATATATATATATGTACTGTTTTAGTCCTTCACGGATGAAACTATGTGTATTGGTGGTAATCCAGGTGTTCATCCGTTCGTTGTTTGCGGACATGTACGAGGGAAATGGACGCGCGGCCTCTGAAGATGCCAAGTGGTATTTTGGCGAAACGTCAGGCGAATGATCCTACTCCAGGGTCAAACAACGAACGGATGAACACCTGGATTACCACTAATACATACACATATATATATATATATATATATATATATATATATATATATATATATATATATATATATATATATATATATATATATATATATGTTTAGCTTTTGGTTCTTGGGTTATAGGTCTTTGTATTAAAAGCGATTAAATTTTTTTTTGTCCATATATTGACGTTTCGGTCTATGACCTTCTTCAGAAAGGGGTACAGTCAAAAAGAGACAAACACAAATCTTAAAATTGAAGAGGTAGCATCATATGGAAGTTTATACTTTAAAAGCGTTTGGTTTTAAACGCTTTTAAAGTATAAACTTCCATATGATGCTACCTCTTCAATTTTAAGATTTGTGTTTGTCTCTTTTTGACTGTACCCCTTTCTGAAGAAGGTCATAGAAGACCGAAACGTCAATATATGGACAAAAAAAAATTTAATCGCTTTTAATACAAAGACCTATAACCCAAGAACCAAAAGCTAAACATAAATATAGAGAAGGTCTAAGAAAAAACAAAATATAAACAATATATATATATATATATATATATATATATATATATATATATATATATATATATATATATATATATATATATATATATATATATATATATTATAAGTACTTATGATGGAAAATTGATCCCTCAAACGATTTTTTTTTAATTTTGATTTTAACTTTTTTTTTATAATGAAAATTTTAATTTAAATTAAAAAATGGATAAAAAAATCAACCGTAAGAGATAAATGATTTAAGAATATATTAACGACTTCAAATTATTTGTTTATTTGCGTATAACTAACTAACTCTGAAGTTAACAAGTGAAAGTTTAACTGATTTCTTGGTTAAAAAAATCATTTTTTTTTATCGGTCACGTGGTTTATGTATTTAAGTTTAAGATTTCGGAAGAAAATTTCGCCGCGCTGCCGAGCGTCTCGAACTGCATTGAAGGTTTTGTCAGTGATAATTTAAAATAGTAATACAAAATATTATTATAAAAGAAATTTTATTATTATATATGTTATTTTATTATAATTATTATTAATAAAATTAATTTTTTTTTAAATATTAACAATCATAACATACTGAATAGAACAAACAAGCTTAAAGAATTAAATTGTAAATTTGTCGTCAGTTGTTTTTATTTTATTTTTTTAAACTTTTTTTTTAATACTTTTTCATTTTCTGAAACGAGCCTGCATTCTAGTGAAAAACTTTGCAATGGTTTGTAATAATGAAATTGGCGAGTATTTTTTAATGTAGTTAAGCGTTCGGATCGTGGTTGCTATTTTTTTGAAAAAGAACTTCGGGCCCACTGAAAAAAAGGAAAGTGGGGTTATTATGCGGTTGTTTTTATCGCGTTGGAGACTAGCACGATAAGCTTGTGTTTTTACACTCCCTGCTAAGCCATCGCACGCTCCTTTGCCATGAGATGTAGGGAAAAAAGTCCAATCAACATCAACACCAAAATCATTTTTATGATTAACTAAATTTAACTATTTTTTTAATCACATAATTTCATAATTCACTCGGACCATTTTAAATCACAGAAAATATTATTATTACAATTAAAAATTATAATACTAAAATATTAACTAAAAAAACGCAAGTCAACACTTCAGCTTTTATTTTTAATAATTATTTCATGCTTTGCGTATAAACCTATGTCACGAATAGACAGGAATGACTTCTGAAATGAGTTTGTTATTTACCAGGATACGCGAAAAACAAATGAAAATCGTAACGGAGCGGTTTTTCTTTTGTTAACTGAAAATGGGAGTGTTGACTAGTAAATTTAAAAATAATAATTGATTAAATTACCTAGAAAAAATAAGTGTAGACCATAACAGTTTTAAAAATTTTGATTGATTATTTTTTTCAAAATTTACGCTGTTTGGTAACAATAATAAAAAAATTTGATAGTATTCTTTATAACGTTGTTTAAAAAAAAATAAAATATTTTATAATAACATAAATAACAATAAAATTTGTTTTATAATAATATTTTGTATTGTTTTTCGAGGCGCCCAGCCGAGCGGCGTTTCCACCGCGCCCGGCGCGCCCTCATAAATAAATTCATTTTGTTTAAACTAATGACGAGCAGTGAAATTTTCTTCCCGAAGCTTAAACTTAAATGAATACAAGCATGTGACCGATAAGAAAAACATGATTTTTTTTACTAAGAAATCAGTTAAATTTTCATTTGTTAACTTAAAAGTTAGTTTATAATACGAAAATAAACAAATAATTTTAAGTCCATAATATATTCTTAATGTATAGACATTAACGGAAGCCTATATTAAGGCATCGGAGATCCAAAAGATCCCGTTGCATCAACATTCTATAACCTTCAAACGAAGAAAGCAAATGAGGGCACTCGTACTTAAGTGAAATACAGAGTTCGCTTAGCCTTCCATAGATGGCGCTGCTTGCTTTTTTAAGAACAAGTATTACCGCGAGTGGTTGGAATTACTGTTCCACTAGAATAATCGATACGTAAACATAAATTAAAAACTAAACAGAAACGCGCCCAGTTTTTCTAAATGACGGAAATTTGTTACAAAGAAGAAATAGAACTTGGTTTTGCGATTGGGCCCTATTAAAATCTCTCTGTAAGTATATATTTTAGCGGTTTTGCTTAGTTTTATTGTTGAAGGCAGTTGACTTAATGATCGATAGCGAGCGCGGTATTATATTTTTTACTTTTATCCCGTATATTTTTATCGCGATACTTAATTACGTAAGAATTAACCCGTCTATCCTAGAGAAAATAGCATCTTGTTCCGAACTTGCACTTTTTATTAGAAACATCTCTGTTTGTTATTAAAAGTAGCAAATTGTTGGATTAGCGAGCTGCGTAGTCTTAAAATCGATAGCAGCTTGGCTTACGAGCTCTAATTCGTCTAAATAATCAAATTTACCGCGTCGAAACTGCAATACGCTTGTACCGACGATAGACTTTCTCTACTGGCCCACGCAACCAGTTTACTAGTGCACGTGTTACGGCAATACGTTGATAGATGGAGCGACTGTGTAGTTACACGAATAAATTGTTTTGTTACACGATGTTGTTTCTCATGCTTGCCCCCTCTTCTGTTATCCATGTTCATGTTTTAGTTTTTGACATCAGTCTGTGAATCCAACCTAAACTAACCAATTACAATGGCCTACGTTGCGAGTTTTTTTTCCAATATTCTAACACATTATTATGTATTGTTAAATGATAAATTGTTTGTAGGAATCAAGCAGAATTCCCTTGGGCTTTGGTCTTGTTCAGTTTTGAATAAATGTTCATATTACAAATACAAATATATAATGTCGATAATCAAGCAGAAGAAAGGGACAATAGAGATTTGAACATTTTCCTGCATGTGTGTTAAGTTAGGGCTGTCGGCTGACCAACCCATAGTTCCGCCGTTACCCAATCCAACCCCTGGGATATTCCATGTTAAGAAAAATTTTTAACTTGCACAACATTGTGAGCAGGGGTACCGTCTTGCTGTCATATAATCAGCACTGATATATTCTATTAGTTGTTCCATTTGGTGCTCTAAGAGTTGCAAATAATGATCCGCGGTTAACTTTTGATTTATAAATATCCGGAAAGAAGGCAACCTAGCTCAAAAATATTTTCGAAGGTAAAACGTCATCCACGAGAATATGGATCCTTTACAAAACCGCGGCCTAGGACGCATATAAGGCTAGCCAGAGATAGAAAATTGGAAGAACTAACTTTTCTGGGAGAAACAGAAATTAACCCGAATACTTACAAAAATTGGAGGTATCCCATTTAAAGAAATATACCTTTGTGTGATATCTCGGGTAAAATAGATAGATTCCCGCTTAAAAAACTTTAAAAAATGTTTCTTTTTGCTAAACTCTATACGGACAATTAAAAAAGTTATAGAGGGCCTTTAAAATCGCACATTTTTGAGAATTACCCTGTAACCCGTAACGTGCACTTTAGTTTTGGGCTAACTATGCTGCAAATGCTTTAGGTAACAGAGGCCCCTCGAATTTGGACCACCCAGTACAGGGCAGCTAATGCACCGCCCAGTACAGTACGATGGGCTTAAAATGAAACTCTCGCTTATACTGCATTTATCTATTTTTCGATAAATTTAGTACACTATCTACTCTAAAGCATTATTCTGGCTCCTCTTTCACCTGGCAGCTACTAGACATCAATTCACCTTCTCCACAGGTGGTACGGGTTGCTAGCAGTACCACGTCTTGCTGTCTTCCTCCGTGACGTCGCTTTTTACCACCTGTCACAATTCGGGCTTGAATTTGGGCCTTACGTAAGGCGGAGGGCTCGGCCTACAATGGACGCCGCAATTGATGGCCGCGTCGGCGCAAGAATGAGCCTCTTTACTGTTGAGGTAGTTGTGAAAAGTGTCCGCGCTGTTGAAAGTCGAGAATTGCGATGCAGGCTGGTGGGGGGTGACGGACTCGACTGTTTCTTCGGATAAGCCGATTCTAGCAGAAAACGATCGACACTACATTTACCTAAATTAACGTTATTAACATCAAGGATTTCAGGTATGAAAAAGCAGTAAACCTAAAATTTAAAATGGCCTCGGAAGGATGGGTCAGTGGCCGTGACGTCACTCCGCATTGATACTCTGATATGAGTCACTTATATTTCTTTTCGAGATTTGGTGGTACAATGAAAGCTCTATATAAGCAACTCACTTCAACTAATTTCAATAAAAAAGTTTCTTATAGGCAAAAATAAAAGTTAAAGACAAGATGTCACAAAAAAAAGATGTTTTGTCAGTTTAAATTATTTTTTACCAGCTAAATCTAATTAAGAATTAATTGCACGTTTTTATTACAGTATGTTAATTGCAATACCGTCTTAAGTGTCGTTTAAAGACTTCGAAGCTCAGAGTTATAAGTAAATTATATGATTTTTTTGAACATACGGAAGATATCCTGTCTAATATGTATTCTGAATTTGATAAAATCATGTGTTTCACTTCTACATAAATATGCAGTTGAGTTCTTTAAGAACTGAACGTCTACTTCTAGAATATAGGAAACAAGATTGCTTTCGAAAAATCGTCACTTTTTTCGCAAAATCGATGTGATTTTATTGTGCATACACCCTGTATAAAGTGTCTGTCAAGTCACGCCGAACTTCAAAGTTACGGCAAACTTTCTTAAATAATAAAATTTGTACAAATAATAGCGTTGTCGAATGTTTTTTTTATTTTTTTTTCAAATATCTCGCGCGCCCTGTATAATTGATGAAACCTGAAATTCTCCCAACACAATTTACGATACTATTCAAATCAAATTATCGCATCCTTCTAGTTTTTCATTTATCGATAATAATTTACACACAAAAACGGAAAGTTTTAGTATGTTTTAGATTTTTTTGCCCATGAACGACGCACCCTGTATATAATTCAAACAATGTTCGAAATATAGGTTATAGCCCTGGATCTCCCACGTTTTCTGGTACATGATTTTTTCCAATAGAGTAATGCAGTACGTGGTAATAGTAAATGACGTCATCGCTTCTATATTGAGGGGCGGGAAATGGTGATTTTCATTTGGATTTTTTCAAATATCTCGAACAACGTATGTGATACACGAAAACCGTAAATACAAAAGTTGTAGCTATCGATGTAGCCAATTGGCCATATTTTTCACGAATTTTGATTGATTTAATAACGAAAAGAACGATTTTCAGGGTCTTTTAGATTTTTGTCTATAATTGAAAAACCCTGCATATAATGGAAAAAATGCCTGAAATAAAAGTTATGGTCCCGCATTTCCGGTTCACAAATTTTGCCGATCGGGTCAATAGTTTTCGACAAAATAATTTTTTTCTGAAAGGCAAAATATACCAAAAAACTTTTTCAAAACTTTTTAAAAAATTCTTTGCGAAATTTTGAGTCCTTTTTTAACATATGAAATGCGGGTGTGGACTTTGACCCTTCGGCCAAATCTGAAGTCGATAGCTGAAAATTGAAGACACCTGCTAATTTTCGAATATAGCACTTAATATATTGAACACCCTGTATAACAGGCGAAAACCCTCAATACAAAAGTTTTAGCTGTCAATGTGGGCATATCGTCATGTAAAAGAAAATGGAAAATATTTTTGCTAATTTCTTTTACTAACCGAACTGTGTCAAATAAATAAGTTCAGTTTTATTTTGCATAACAAAACATTTTATCACATCGGATTTTAATAAATCTTTGATTAGTTTTGCACTAATCGTGAAAACACACAAAAACGATTCTGTTTGATAGCTTTTTCTCCTAATCTTTGTCACAAAAGAACCCCAATTAAAAGAATTTATAGCATCATCAGAAACCCAATTAATATATTGTCGATGGTTTTTAAAGCTGGAATGGTTTGTGCGTTTGAACTACTTTTAACCGAGAATTTTGAATATAATATAATATATAAAAATCATTTTCTATTATTTTTTTGATTAACTTAATTTATTTTTTTATTTAATGTTATTTTAAGCGAGTTTGGCTTATTAGTAGGCCAAACAAACCAGATTATCACACCTGTTAGCGCCTATTGAGATTCTAAAAATTTTAAGAAAGGCTACATTTTCAAATCGTTTTCTATGAAATTTTGCATGTACGGTACGGCAAAGGAATCAACGAAACATTTGAACTATTTTGATGTAAGCCAGGAGCAAGACATTTGAACTACTTCAATTTTAAGGGTTTTTCTGTTTCAACAAGCATTCCGTGTAAGAGATTTCAAATAAACAAACCAAAAGAAAAAAAAACACAGCAATTGATCACTCTCCCGTGGATGGTTTTACCTTTCATGGTACCAGTCTATACAAATGTGAAACAAATTATCTAGAAAAAAGTCGCTCTCCTCATCGTCTCTGCAAACGGTAGGGAATGACAAATGTTGAATACAATGAGGTCAACGTTTCGGATTACTCACAAATCGTCGTGATGAAAGCACAAAACGAACGTCAGGATCAGCACCAATATAACCATAACAAAAGTAGGTACTGTAATTGTCAGCAAGAGCTCCTTCATATAACTCCTTTTTGGTAGTTCGTCCCTCGAAATCGGCCTCCAATAATCATCATAGGCGTCTTCCTCGGTGTTGACGTGATTCGATTTGTGCATGGCCGAATTATTGTTTTCATCCCTTCGAATCTAAAAGTGCAAATGCTGAGATCGACATCGGGCTTTGAACATCATATCAACCAGCCGAAACGAGCACCAGTCCATTGAGAAACCCGCCTCTTTAAAATATCTTTCGACCGACGTCTTCTTGAATCCTCTCGGACAAGGTGAAACTTTGTACAAAGGTCTAACTTCCTCCTGAAGCTCCAACAGCTCCGACGAAAATACCACTTCGCTGCCGAACCTCACGATCACCCTGGGTGTAAATTAAAGTGACGATTATAGCGATAGTTAGATAGAATATTACCCTTCTCCTTCGCTTGGATTCAAAGGCTTCCGTGCGCCCATCTCGATCGCCGACTCGAGAAACGTAACGTAAAGATCCTCGTCACTGTCGCGCCACAATTGTTTCCTAAAAATATCTTTTAATGCGTCCATGCGATCGACTTCAAACATGTCTTCCACATTCAAATTGTCGATTTTCAAGTGCAGCTCGTATTTAGCCGGATTCAGCTTCTCGGAGATAATAACATTTATGTTTTTGACTCGCGTTTCGTAATTGTGTTTATTGAGAGCGACGACTTCGAGTGGAACGACAGCTTTGTTTTTGTTCGGGGGCACCCCGTACAAGTAACCAGAGTGATGACGTTCGCTGTATACATAGTGGATCCAAGACGGTAAATCCGGCGCATTGAGAAGGGACGCCTCGTATACGAATTGGTCCCTTCTACCCTCGTAGGTCCAGTTAAAAAGGGGAGGATCGACTACTATTTGGAAAACCTCGGTCATTAATACGTTCGCATCTTTCGCAAACGCAAATTTTGCTAGGTAAATAAAAATTGTAACACATTTTAAAAGACTAAGCGATAAACGCAGCATCTAGAATCGAAATCACGGAGTCAAAAAATGGTTATAATTTTAGAAATCAATATTTCTATTTCTGTAATTTCAAATTTTACTTGGACCGCAGTTCAACAATAATTAAAACCATAGAATATTGGTCCTGGCAAAAGGCTCAACGCAACGCAATGTTTTAGCAAAGCATGCTACAGATCAGAATTTGGATGTTCGTCCTTGCCCAGCAGAGCAAGTTTTTTCTGAATTCGTGAATGTTGGTAAATAGCATATTAGAAAATTTAAATATTAAGCACGAATTGTTCTGTAATTATCGTGGCTGGCATATTTGTTTGGCATGTGGCTATGTTTTGCGTAAACGAAGAATGATGAGATTATAGAGACGATGAACAGGACATTGCGCCATGTATCGAAACGGCGTTTTGTAATTTCACGTGTCCTTGTTTTTATTTTGGTTCGGTGCAGCTGGTCGCATAATTGAGGTTGTTTATTTTTACTTTGCGCTATTAACTCAATGTTGGACGCACAGTTTCTGTCTATATTCAGTTGAAATTTTGCCAGTCACTTAAAGAAGAAGGCAATCGTCAATCTGCCAATTGCGTAAAAATGAATTGAATTTGTTTGGTCAATATAATTAGAAAAACAGGAAATTATAGACGCAAGATTTTAATAACGAGTTATTGTGTGCATGCAGTAGTGATGCCATCTCTTGTTACAATCATGGAACTAATTACATGAGGCTAGTATGGATAGATTGCGCGCGTGGCATCTCGCGTCGAACGCGCGAACTAATTAGTCGATTCGAGCTCCAACAGATGTCCACCGAACTAAATAATCCATGCGTTCGTCAATTGGTTGAATTAATAATGTCAAGGAATTGTAGAAAAAATTACACATCTTAATCCGAAACAATTTATTTTATGCAGAATTTATATAAATAAACCATCGCCAAACTTCCTCAGGCTTTCCCAACGATCCACTTGGATGTCCTGTATCCTGGGTTTCGAAAAAGTAAATTCTTTTCACCCCCAAAACAAAAAGAAACGGGGAGCACACACATTTTATGAACTGTAATAGTATATTATGCAACAAGTGCTTTAAACGGCATATTTACTAGTTCCCATTTAACCTACTTGTTTATCGTTCCTCTCGGTTTTGCTATTGTTGTCTCTATTTACGTACTATGTCTCGTTAGACATAGACGTTAGACAATTTTTAAAGGATAGAGCATTTAAGAGGATTAAATTTTGAAGATCCTATAAGCAAAAAAAAGCAGGAACCAACCTTGTTTGTACTGATGAGACATGGATATTTGAAAATCGTACAATTGGTCTTCGCAAGATATTAATATAATAGCTGTAAAAACTACTAAAGTTTGTTTTTTTTGTTTAAATTGTCTGATATATTGCGCAACATTTTTCGGCGTATTAGTTTTTGGGTACATTTTCGTAAAACAACACGAATACATTCAATGACATGACCGTCAGAATTGACAGACGTCAAAATTCAAACAGTGCGGTGAAATCTCCGAAAACATCCGATCGCTCCTAAACCAGTGCGGTAAAATCCCGGAAATATCCGAAGTGGCTCGGATCCGTGGGAAACGAAACTTGACGCTTCCCGCACGCTAAATCGGTGTGTAATTAGGCATTTTACATACGGGAGTAGAAAAAATACATACCTTAATTAGAAAGAATTTATATTATTAAACCGACACCAAAAGGGAGTACACACATTCTATGAACCGTAAAATGATTTCATTTATGATTTATCCATTAATTCCTATATGCGACGTGGCAAATCCCTCGGGAGCAATCAAAAACCGATCGCGTCGCTTATCGCTCCCTCACTTCGCTCAGAAGTCCGAGGGCCATGGTAGCGTCCAAACGCGCACCGTCGACGTGCCGCGACGCGGATATCCTCCAGGACCCTTTTCTGAGGATTCCCTACTGGTCGTCCAAGCTGGGCAGGTCGAACAAAATCTGGGCGATACTGACCTTGCTCTTGGTGCTCGCTTCTTACGTCTACTCCAACTTCTTCGGAAACCACGAAGCCCGCGACTCGATCGTCGTCGTCGTCGTCACGCTCATCAACAGCGGCCTGCTGACGGTCTCGAACGTCGTCACCGCGGTCGGTTTCCTCCGGGCGGACAAATCGGAATGGCTGCTGCGTAGTTTCGTCGACGTCACCAAAAAAATCAACCCCGAGGATTTGACGAAAGGCCGCAAGTATTGGATCGGATTCACCCTCGTCCATTTCGCTTACGTCGCGCAGACGAGCCTGGACGTTTTCGCCGTCGGCTCGTTGGTGGAGCCCAGCTCATATCCGTTCTTCGTCAACCGTAACGTCCAGTTCTACGTCTACTGGATCGTCATGTTCCACGTGAACGCTTTCGGTTTCAACGTGGGCCGAAAGTTTCGCACGTTAAACGAACGCTTGGACGCCGTCTTCGACGAGTTCGCGGAACGGAATAAGTTCCGGGTGGTCGAGGAGTATAAGACAAAGGCGGTGAGACGCGAGGTGATCCGCACGCGAAAGATACACCTGGAGCTGTGCGATTTCTTGGACGTCTTCAACGAGGTGTTCGGCACCACGTTGCTGATCGCTACGATCTACGTCACGTCGATCGTGCTGTGGAGTCTGACCATTATACTGGGCCACGGTATACTGGGCGACGGGTTCGACCGACGCCCCTTCACGGCCTACAAGACGGCGACGTTCTTCGGATGGATGTTCATCGCAATGGTTCGTATATCCCGGTTTAAAATTCGGGGCGTTCGGAAATTGAGTTATAGCTTGTCAAATAAGCTGGTATTTTACACACTGCCCTGATTTAGCAAAAGCAATAGAAAAGTGTGTGTACACGTTAAATATTAAATTTTTTGCGTTAGTTTTTTAATTTTCGGCCGTAGCTTAGACACTACAGCACCGGTAAGCATTTACCTTCAGTTTCAGGCTTTAATGTTGGCGAAATCCGGCTACAACGTCCAAAAACGGAACGCGGACATAGTCCGGACCTGTTTCGTTTTCCTCGGCAGGCTGCCGCCGTCCCTGTCGCACGCCCAAAGGAACGACATCACAGAAGACGTCCAGCTTTTGATTCAGCAAACTTCGAGAACCGACATAGGAATTTCGGCGGGGGGTTTTTTCATCATCAACTACGGAGTCCTGGGATTCGTAATAACCAACGTCACCACCTATCTGATCGTCTGCATTCAATTTATACTGACCGGACGGTACGGTTCTGCACAGAATACGACAGATGTATAAAACCCATGTTGTAGTTTTAATCAAAGAGCTCTTTTTTTTTTTTGATAACACTTATTATCCACAAATTATTCACAAATCTTTTGGATTGCCTCTGCGTCGGTTGCTGATGAATCGAACTAGCTAACGTTTCGCCCATCATCCTGTTGGCTTCTTCAGCGCTTAACTTAAACTGGCACCTGTATCTCTGTATCTATGTCGTTTTACTTTTGATATACTGGGTGGTATATTTTTCAAAAATAAAATATGTTTGGCACATATTTTTCAAAAAATATATACGACATTGATTTCCTTAAAAAAAGACATTTACCTTCATTTAGGAGCAGATATTTTTTTTGTCCGTCGCACTTTTTTCATTTAAAAATAAAAAGTAATTTCTCTGCATGCTGTCACATTAATGATGTTACTATGCTTTTTATAAAACTTCTGGATTCCTCCTGCGTAATAACAACCCCCCAATCTTAGATATTCTTATCAATAGAAAATCAGACCTGGGTCGCTCTGAAGAAGCCACAGGATGATTGGCGAAACGTTAGCTATGATAGAAATTATTGTGACGGGGGATGAAATTATGGTTGTCTATTATTTCTCTATCGAAGAAAGAATCACTGGAGTGGCGTCGTGAAGCACCTCCAACAAAATTCAGAGTCTGCCGGTCAACGAAAAACGTGATGACCACGCTCTTTTGGGACAGTGAAGGAATCCTTATGATATATTTTAAAGAAACTAATACCACTGTCAATGGTAAATATTACGCAACATTGTTACATAAATTGCGAGACTGCATACGTGTAAAACGTCGAGGAAAACTGACCAGAGGCGTGCGTCTTTTGCACGATAATGCACCTGTCCATACTGCTGGTGTTGTACAAGCTGATATTTTAGAGTGTGGGTTCCAACAGATAGATCATCCTCCCTATAGTCCAGATAATCCTCCCAGCGACTGTTATTTGAATATTTGAAAAAGGACTTACGTAGACGGTGGTTTAACGACGAAGTTGAGTTAAGAGAGGCTGTTTCAGCTCATTTTGCAGACAAATCAAAAGAATATTTTTTTAAGGGGATTGAGTTGTTAATGTAGAGATGTAATAAGTGTATTGAAGTTAAGGGGGATTATATTGAAACATAATAAAAAATTGTTACTCTACTTTATTTCTTTCATATTCAGGCCCGGAAATTTTGGCGCTGCCCTCGTAAGATCGAATTGAAAAAAACGAATTTTTACTGTTATTATCATTATCAATTTAACGGTTCGTTAATATTTAAATAACGAAGTGTCAGAGGCTATTTATAGGGAAGCGGCATTGACCCAGTGGGACCGCCGTATCTGCGGCAATGACATCAACTCCATTATCAAAACGGACGACACCGGTTTTGACCCGCGAAATCGAACCCGACGCTATCAACCGGACACGCTTCAGTATTAACGGGGATTTTTTTTTATTTGCCACAGGCAATGCGAAACGTTTGTTTGGTGGTGCTTTCGTGAATCGGTGGTACCCGCGACGATTACTAATAATGGTGGCGCATTCAGCACGAAGGTGAGTGTTTGGAATACTTGCAAAAATTACTTAATGGGTTCTTTGGCTAATGAAATTACTACTTAAGATTATGCGTTCCACGTGGTCCAAATGTTTGCTTTAGAACCCTATTAAGATATGATCGTATATGCAGTCGATAGTTCAGTTGCGTTAAAACCTTCAGAGTGCCATAATTCGTACCATATTTTGTTTTATCCACGTCTACTAGAACAATGACAACATGATAGAGCCAACAATATTATTGATCCTGCGAAAACTTTTAGAATAAAACAATTTTGGATATAGTGGGGCACAAATTGTTTATGATTAACTGAATGTATTT